AGATTTTTCGTGTTTCCTTTTGGAACGTGGTTCGTAGCGTAGCTGCCTCTGCTGCTGCCTCGCCTTTGCTGCACTTGCTATAAACTTGAATGCAGCAGCAGCATCATATAGCAGAACTACTGACGAAAGGAGAGCCAAAGCAAAATGTAAGGGACGTTGTCAGTGCAATGCAGAAACCAACAACATTTAGCACTTGTTCATATGGCTTGAACAAAACCCGTTTTTCCGTTTGCTGCGGACACCAAATATGCATGCGCAACGCGTTTTACGAAATCTAGCCTAACCCTCTTCCGAAGATCGTCCAATGTATCGTCCCCCATAATAACAATGAATTTGAATTCGATTTTGAATTCCAATTTCTTTTCCTTCAAATCAATTTACATGTTCAACCGTTATGACCATTGCTCCATTCGTATGGTATGGGTATAGTATGGTGCACCACCCCTTTCATTTTATATTTATTGCTATCTCTCCTTTCGCCTTGCCATTCGCATGCCAAAGCAAAGCAAAAAGTGAATGCACTAATTTTGCCTTGGCATCCGGCGCGGCGCGGCATTTATTGCTAGTTTTTCTCTTTTGTATCTATTACAAGTTGTTTCTCTCTGCTTGCACTTGGATCTACCTACACACATACATAACTATTCGTACTAAAAGCCGCAAGTGTGTGTGTGGTTTGTGTACATGTGTGTGTGTGTGTGTGCGATGCCAATTTGCGCCTATTGTCTGGCATTGTACATGCTGTAGATATAATTTCTAATTGAAATAGAGCCAGGCAGGCGCATTTGTTGCCCAATCGAATTGGCTACGCGAAACGAAACAAGAACAATCAAAGAAAAGAGAAATCAGAAAGTACTGTCAATGAGCTTATGTAACCTTTCATTGTATTTCCTTTAAACATATGTAAATACATATACCATAAGTACCATGTATCATATGCCATTATTATTATACTAGTACTAGTACTAGTACTACTAGTACTAGTCGGTATGGCAGCTTGAAAATCTATTATATAATATCGATGGTTTTGAGTTATTGAGATAATAAATGTTCGCCCAACAAATGCATACATATGTACGTATCAACATGTAATTTGATTTCCGTTTCATTTTGGATTACAATTTCTCAATGGAAATAAAATAATACGAGCATTGGCCTATGCTCGATCTAAGAAAGCAACACCATCGCATATGAAATAAGGGAGACGGGGGAATCAGTGGCTGCAGTAACTTTTGATTTGGGTTACACACAATTGCAAACAAAAATCTTTACACACATGCCGTTGCCTTTGTGTGTGCGTCTTACAACGTCGCTATTTAAAAATACACAAGCTCACACACACATTAACTAGAGAACGAAAAGTGGAGAAGCAACGAAACAAATTTTACACATTCTAACAGCAGAATAATCATTGGGAAGAAGGTAAAAACCAGCACAGAGCGTGCACATACACATATGTATTCATGTATGTACATATTTTGTTCATACTCAAAAGCTAACCCTACCCCAACCCCAGCCACAACAGCCATCAACTGAAAGACGCGCCATAAACAAATTACACACACACACACAGACACCCACAAATAACGTGCCGACCGTGAGAGGGAGCGAGAGCGCCGGCTTGTAAAATCGTGCATGAAATGCACGTTGAAAACTAATCGCACTCACACCAAATCAAATGCATATGTATGTATGTACTGACCGCAGCGGTGCTTTCGTCGCGTTGTCGTTGCCATGGTTTTGCTGCAGCGGACAGATGAAATAAAACAAACACACAAAGGAGAGATACGAAAGCTTATTCTGGAAAGCGAATGAATACATATTTACATAATTGGGATAGGCAGCCAGCGCTCCGCTCCCCATATCAGCGCTCTGAATAGTCCAACACCTCTGTCTGATTGGCCTACGTGACTGCACTACTACCAGCACTAGCGCATTACAACAATATTGGCATTGCCTTGCTGTACTTTCATTGACAACAGACAACCCCAACCCACACTAAAACAGCACCTCTCCGCTCAGCTCAGCGGCTGCAACGCAAGCATAGGGGGTGCTGGCTAGTTGTACTCTCAACTAATTGCGTCTTAGTTTATTTTTTGTCGCTTTCCTATATCGGAATAGTAAAATTGCATGCCTAGTTTTAGCGGATTTAATTATTCAGGCATGTGGACAGTTTTGAACACTCTGGAGTGGTCCATGCAGCGGCACATGTTCCAATACATCAATGAATTACCAATTGGTAATGATGCGATGCGACCTCCCACATATGTAACTGCACAAACTGGCGGGAGTTAGGTGGCGGTCTTGGATAATCTGGGTATGCGACAACCCTTCGCTTGGAAATATCGAATGCCTTCCTATTCTCTTTCCTCAACTTCGCAATTGTACATTAGTTCTGTGCTGCGCAGGGGAGAAATAAGCGCACCACAAAAACTCGTCTATCAACTTTTGCTTTCATTTTGTGGCGAAAATTCGCGCGTACAGAGCGCAAGACATAAATAACAATTGCAAAAATCACGTATGCGTAAAGAGCAACACAGTAATAGCCACAGTGCGCAGAAGCGAGACAAAAAGACTAGCCGTTCATACACACACACACATTTATAAAATCAACTGCGGCCAACTTCAGGGCGTACGAGCGTAAAATCGGCGAGAACACGCAATAAAATGTTTGACGAAAACAATACGAAAGAAAAGGGAATAAGATCTAAGCGACTAACGTCGCGCTGTTCTAACATTCTGGATATTGGACCAAGGCATTTTCAATATGGCGTCTGCTGTGCAAAACAGTCTTGCAATTATTTATATAATTAAACATTTACAGCCTTATTTGAAAATTTTTGTAGTTGAAATGGTCATGCAATCTGATGCGCATGTCAAAACGACGAAAACAAGATATACACAAATAGGAATACATATTGTGTAGCACATGCATTGAGGGTGTGACTATTTAATGTTTGTTTCAAACACCTAATCGCATTTGCAAATAATATAAATTAAATAATTATTTTATAAAAATAATATATTGTATTTTTAACCATATGCGCGGAGCTGGCAACTCTGTGGAGCTCTATTTTACGCACATCCAACTTCACGTTGCACAAAGCAGAATCGAAAGCAAAACAAATGAACGCATCCATGAGTGCGAGAGAGCACGGCATATGCACTGGAGAAACACGAAATCAAATATGGCGACACGGTATGCGAAAAACTGAATAGAAATGCATCAACAAATATTTAACCCGCTCAAATTTGTATTTAACCAGCTTTAGGACAAGTGCAGGATATGATTCATTTTAAGATAATGCTGTCTGATGTTGCATACTGAAGATTCTGTCCTAATCACATCACTTTTTTAATTAAGGCGCGCATTCTCCATATTTATTTATTAGCGCTTTACTCACCGTTTAATTTGTTCATTGGAGTCTCACTTCATTTTTCACAACTCTGTTTACTTCAGCAGAAAGCATTGATTTTGAATTTTTGCGTATTTAGCGCACAAAACTCTTTTCACGTTTGATTTTTACAATACAAATAAAATTTGCATACACTTGGGCACTTGTTTTTTAGTTCCTTTGAACATTTTCGCTTTTGAGCACTCAAAAGATATCGCGGCGCTGTTTAGAACGTTTAGTACCTGCACAAAAAAAACGTTTCTTCTTTGATTAATCAATTTTATTATTATTAATACCGTATGGCATAAGAAGCAGATGAGAAAACGAATGAGGAAAACATATACACGGATGACGCGTGCGTCAGAGCGGGATGTCTATACATACAACCATGAGCACAGCTAGTGTGACCGTTCTGACTTATGGCACAGGCTTGCCAACAGCCTATTATCGGCTATTTTATTTTGTTCGCTAGCTCCCCTGCTTCTTCTTTATTTCTGTGTTGCACTGCTTCTTTGCTTTAGCCTATTACTACTGTGCCTGGCCATTCCGAAGTGCTGTACGTACATATTTCGATTTCGCCTTTCCGTCTCTTCGTCGACACTCACAAACACACGCATGTATTTCGGTATGTGTAAAATCTATACACACATACATACGGATGTTGGCGCACATATACAAAAATGAGAAATAGTTAAATGTTATTAACTATCCAGCAGCTATTATTCACATTTCACATAGCAAACAGCGCCAAAATAAGGCAACATTTTCTGAGAGACAAAATACTTGATACACAATCGAGGTGCGTTATTCGGTATGGAAATGCATCGTTGTCGTTCGTCTTTTAGCTATAGACACTTGGAAAGTAATTTAAAAGAAAAAAACGTACGCCACAAGCAAACAAACTATATTTTTTGTACAATTCCCTGTACTTCTCCTACACTGGTACAAATACTATATTCATGTGCATATGTATATATAGACCGCTGCCAGTACACGTTTAGCGACATCTCGCTTGCTCTTAGGCTCTGCACGTATTTTGCTTCTCACATTGTATCTGTTTTCCTCTTCTCCTACACGCTAATAAGAAATCATATACGAAAACTGTATTTTAGAACTCAACTAACACGTTTCACATTTAAATTTCATAGTGATGCGATTGCCGCCATCGCATACTATGCTTTTGACTATTTCATTCAATTTATTTTGTTGGTTTTAGCACAATTTCCACGCGTTTAATTAATGCACGACTTTCCGAAATTAGGGATGTTAAATATATATATATTGATGTATCAAAATATCGATATATATATTTCTTGTTGGTAGGCAGGGCTAGTTACAAAATATATCGGTATTTGAACGATTTCGGCGATTACATTTGCAAAATATGTTCCGACATAAATTCTAAAAATCAATTGCCATATTCTACCCAATATTAAAGTATAATTTGTCAAAAAATCTCCCCAAAAACCGAAAGAAGTTTTGCTCATAATTCTAAAAAAATAAATATCATAACATTGTCACGCCACCTGGCGCCTTTCTGTTGCAGGAAACTATCGATAGTGGCTCGATTATTCACATAAAGAATACAATTTATTTTTGTTTTTTAAACTCCTAGAAATGGAGGCAAATGTCAACCCCTTGGCCGTGATACTGGTATATTTTGACAGCAAAGGCGACCGCCTGCTCTATCGGTATCCCTATCAGACTCTGGGACAAACAGAGGTGGCCACGGAGGAGCAGCGAAAGTCCAGGTCTGGAGTTTACACGACTGCCGACATCTGCATCCCTTCAATGCCTTTTGCTTCTACAGAAAACGAAACCCCTATGCCGCCGCAAACACTGACGACTTGCTTCAGACGCCCACACACATCAGCGCTGCGAAGAGTCAGGGCCAGCTGCAGGGATTTGCCGATGATGTCCTGTCCGCTCTCTTTGCCGTTAAGCCGCAGCTTTGCAACCAAAAGTTCGAGCTGAAGCTGAACGATGTGAGGTTTGTTAGCCATCCCACGCTAATTCCCCATAAGGAGCAAAGGCCCAGCAATGCCAGCAGCAGTATTTCCCTGCCCTCAGCTGGTGGGGTTACTGCGAATCCGGCACCAGCTGCTCCATCCTCCGTCTTGGCGGTCAAAAAGCAACAGATGCTCATCAACATAGTCTTTGCCCTACATGCCCAGGCCAGCTACTCGATTGTGAAGTGCTACCACGAGCTAAGCAAACGCCTAGGGCTGGCCCTGAAGTTTGAGGAACAACGCAGCGGCTACCTTACGGAGCAGACGGCCCACATGGCCCGCACACATGACGAGCAGCAGCAGCAGCCCCTGGAGCGAACACTCGAGCTGATTGCGGAGAGGTGCAGCCTGGCACAGGCCCTGAAGTCTATATTCCATGATCTGTGCACCACAGGCCTCCTCAGCACATCGCTGAATCAGAATCTGACGCTCTGCTTCTGCCTGCCGGCCAAGGCACACCAGCTGCACAAGAAGGGAAGCATGGTGGATCCCGAGACGATAGATCGCTGTCTGCGGGCTCTCAAGCCGTACCACGGCATGCTTCTGCTAGTGGACTTCGCGGAGCTGCTCGACTGTGTCCCGCCCACGGGGGCCAGGATGTTGTGGCAGCTGGTGGACGCCTACAATCCACTGATAAGCCTACAGAGCATGGCCTCAAACGCGGACCTAAGCATCGAGCACGTCTACAAGCTTGTCTCTCACCTGGTCTACTGGGCCAAGGCCACCATCATTTATCCGCTGTGCGAGACGAATGTGTACGTGATTGCCCCAGACGCTCCGCTGCACACCAAGTCGCATCTGGTGGAGAAGTTCTCCACGCGCTTTGCGGGCATGTCCCTGTTCGAGGTCATCTCCGATTTCTCGCTGCCCACATCGATTGGACATCTGACCACGCCCCTACAGCAGCCGGCACGGCAGGGAATCCTCGCTCAGATGGTTTTGTGGATGCTGCAGCACCACCTGCTCATGCAGCTGCACACCTACGTTCAGTTCATGCCCAGCGAGGATGAGTTCGGCGACTCCGCGTCCTGTGGGCATCAGCTGCGTGGAGCCAGCGACGATGAGGGGGACCAGGACGCCGATCAGGACGAGCTGCACGACGGCTCCATGCTGAGCATGTCCAGCCAGCCGTTGCCAGTTCCCGTGGCATCTATCAATCATCGTCGAGACGTCTCCGAGGATCATTCCTCCCTAGCCTCGGATAACATTGCCGTGCAGCCCTCGTCCAGCCACAAGTCGAACTTCAGCATGACCGCCTCGCTGAGCACGGAAAATTGCGACAGCATCGACTCCATGGAGGATGAGCAGAAGCTGAAGGAACTGCTGCAGGTCTTCAACGATGCGGATCGGGCCGCCATCCGCCGGATACCCGCCTCGCTCAATGTCGACGATCTGGCGCTGCTTGTCAAGCTCTATCAGATGGGCTACTTCAAAAGCGAGCATCATCTCGAGGAGATAATGTACTTTGAGAACCTGCGCCGTTCCCAACTTCTGCAGCTGCTTGACAAGTTCCGCGACGTGCTGATCATCTATGAGACGGAGGATCCGGCCATTGCCTCCATGTACAATAACAAGTAGTTTAAGTTGAAACAATTAAGCATTCCGAGCGCAGCCAGAAGAATTCGAGTAATTCGAGTTGTATGATCTTTGAATCGGGGGCCTACTGTACTTGTGGGGCTAAGTGGGCTAAGTTCGTCTTTTCATCGGTATATTTACGGTATATTTTGAAATCTGTGACGTATTTTGGTATATTTTTGGGGGTCAGACCGTATATTTGATCAATAAATCCGCGGTCACGCTGCAAAAATGAAACCAGCTGATTCAAATCTGAAAATTGTCAAATTTTTGTGGGAAATTTGTTGGTTGTTTGTTTATTTTTAATGTGATCATGGACGACAAACTAAGTCCTTTTGAGATAGTGGACATCTCAAATATGTGTATTGTATGCCGGGAAATTTCCGACTTCCTGGTGGGCATATATTCGAAAACGCGTTTTTGGCTGCACGAATCAGAAAGGGAGAAGGAGCAGGAGCTGTGTCTGGCAGACATGATAAATGAGTGCTCCGGCTGTAAGGTGAAGCTGCTTGATGGATTCCCCGCGTACATGTGCGTGAGATGCGTTGGGGCGACGAACGCTGCTTTCCGATTGAAGCGCCAATACGAGGAGAGCTACCGCTACTTTGCACAGGTAATACAAGCGGAAGACGATCTCTGCACGATGCTGGCGAAGGAGGAGTGGATTTTGGCCGATGAAAAGGCCGAGCCTCGTCGACCAGAGAAACCAGACGACAATCAAATGACTTTGGGTGAAACTAATAATACAATGGACACATCCCAAGAGACCGACGAAAACGACAACTGGGAAGATCCCGAACCAGTAGCAGAACGCAAATGGCAGCTGATCAAGGATCCCATTAAAGAAGAAAAGAGAAACAGAAAACAGAAATATAGCGAGGATACCATTCCAGCTAGAAAACGAAAAAGGAGAACGTGCAAAGATCGCCAGAATGATGAGCTCAAGGAGTCCGATGAAGATGAATCCGAAACGTACATTTATGGTTCGAAGCTGAACGAGAAAAAAACGAAACGTTGGCTTTGCTCCAGTTGCAAGAAGTCCTTTGCACAACGTCAAACTCTGAAGGTGCACATTCGTATTCATACCGGCGAACGTCCCTATCAGTGCTCCCAGTGCTCTAAGGCCTTTGCTCAGAAAAGTAATCTCGACATACACATGCGCAACCACACCGGCGAACGTCCCTACCAGTGCACCCAGTGCTCTAAGGCCTTTGTTCAGCAGGCCAATCTCACAGCGCACATGTGCACCCACACCGGCGAACGTCCCTACCAGTGCTCCCAGTGCTCTAAGGCCTTTGCTCAGCGAAGTCATCTCGACATACACATGCGCAACCACACAGGCGAACGTCCCTACCAGTGCTCCCAGTGCTCAAAGGCCTTTGCTCAGCAGGCCAATCTCAAAGCGCATATTTGTCGGCACACCGGCGAACGGCCCTTCAAATGTCCGCATTGCCCCAGAGACTACACCAATAAGGGTCACCTGTACGTCGACATGTGCACGCACTCCTCCCATCGACGTTTCAACTGCTTAGAGTGTAAGAGCAGCTTTAGCCAGAAGAGCGCCCTGCAGAAGCATATGACCATTCATACCCGGTTGTTGTATAAGAGTACAAATCTCATTAAAGTGCAGTCTGGGGTCTCGCCAAAGCCTCTCGAGGAAGTGAAGCCCAGGGCCGAATACAAGCTGCGACCAAGATATACGAAGTAAGAAGAGAGAAATTGGGCTGACAACAAATGAAATTATCAATATTATTATTAGAAAGAGCATTAAGAATGAGTTATGTTTTGAACGCAGAGCATAGAAGAAGCCTTCTACAAAGACAATTTATTGTATGTAGAAATCGAATGACAAAAGCGTTGGGCCCGGCAAAAAATTTGGGTGAATCTTGTATACCTAAGTTCAAATTGTAAATAAAATTAATATGAATTACTTCAATCTAACTGCAGTCCTCAACATAGTATTTGTAAGGGACCTGAAATAGGTTTATACATTTTTTGTAACTGTTTTAACTGGCTATTGAATAAATTATGTCAAAACAGAGATCTTTTCTCTATCTTTCCCAATCTCGAGTCGAGCAGGACTATGCCTTGTCATGCACAATACATGTTTTGGGCATTCTGCCATGCTCTTTTCAATCATTCGATTTTACTTCTCTCGCTGGTGTCTCGTGCTTGGTCCTTTGAAGACCAAACATTTTTGAACAGCAGACAAAACTTTTTAGCAATTTTAAGTTGAGAAATATCCAAAAATTTATTTGAAAAAATCGTGTTTTTCCTTGTTATTTTTTTGTCGAAATAATATTGTACTTAAATTATATGTGGGTTTTCACTTTCTGCTCTTAACCCATACAAAATATACATTATCGCTCGTCCGTACAGGACAGAACATGCTTCCTAATAACTTAAACAATGATCGCCTAGCTCTAACAAAATACATTCTATTGTTTCAGATTACTTGATGGACTTTCATTACGATCGGGGCTAGTTATTCATATCTGCCGGTTGATCGTCCTCGTTTGAACTCTTCTCCTTTTTGTGGGAACGACTGTGGAGTATGAGCTGGACCTTCTTTGGGAACGTCTTTGGACAGTGTATACACTGGTAGTGGAGCGGTGGTGGTCCGGCAATATTTGGCGCTGGATCCTCCTCCTGCGCTACTACCCTGATGGTGAAAGGCCTCTTCATCAGCGGCGTGTCGGGGGTAATGGTGTTGCCCATCTCCTCCAAGTCCCCGTCCTCCTCGCTTTTGATGTTTGTTAAGTCCAAGTCGTCGGTCTCGATGATCTCAAAATATTCCGCCGCAGCGTTGTCGTTTTCAGCCTCGTTAAAAACCGGCGCAGTGGAATCAACAGCATCGACATCTATCTCGTTCTTCACGTTTACAGTCTGCTCCTGGGCCGCGTCATTTGGAATTATGGAAGTCTGCTCGTCAGTTGGTTCTCTCTTCACTGGTGCATGCCTCTGCATGGTCCGGCTGTACCTACGCTTGAATCGATACGCATTCCGCAGCGCCTTAAAGCATGGCTCGCATAAATGCTGATGATGGCCGTCTCCTTCATCCACATTCAACCCGGTGCACTCCTTAATCAGATTGGCCGGAATGTCTTCCGGCTCGTAGGGCAAGCTCTCATCGTGTTTCTGCTTGGCAAAAATGTCCACTGGAGGCTCGGCGTCTTTTAGACAAATTCGGCAGCACATTTTCTTTAAATCGTCCATGTTTTTGCTTCCAATTTATTCCATTCCAGTTTTCGCGGTGGAAGCTATTTTTGAGGAAATTTACACCAATGTCTTGTGTTAGTTGTTGTTGGACTTATCGATAAAATAACCATCAGAAGTATACCAATATATATATATTTTTTTCTTTTTTGAGGGTTTAAGTTACCATGCTACCCGTGAGTAGCGTGGGATTATTTGGCCGCCCGCCTTTTGAAGGTGGAAATTGCCAAGTCAAAGAATAGAATATGTCGGAGTACTGTTTATAGCTTTACATCAATTTCGTCGATGAAGTCAATTAGTTTTTGGTACGCGCTGTTTTCTTTTTCAAAGAATTTGTAAATATCATTATATTTTCTTAGAGATGGGAGTACACCTTGTTGTGTTGTACTTGGTACAATTGAAAATTAAATGCGAGGCGTTATCGATACTATCGCATGTATCACATATGTTACTAGGAACTACATGCATTTTGGCGAGAGTCTGCTTATCGAATGCGTTACCACTAAGCAGTCTGTTGATTCTTTTAGCGTCAATGGCTTTAAGCAAAGACTATACAATACCAAGATGTTGCATGAGGAACAAATGCTTTTTCAATTTTCGTTTGACGCTTCATGGTACGGGCGCGCGGGGCTAGTACTTCAATTCTCTTTTACGCTACCTTCGCCTCCGAAATGCTACTCGGCTTCGTCAATGCCTCGGTCAGCATCGAGTCGGTGTGTCTCGAGAGAAAGAATACAAAAACAAAATATGAATCGTTGACGACGGGAAGCCATCTGGAATGACTCAGTACGTTGATGCTCGACTTGAATTTGGATTCCGATTTTTTGGTTTATCTTGGTGTTCTGTTCTGGTTTTTTGGTTCAAAATGCCGTTGGTTGTATTATTTATTAAGTATTTTTTTATTATTTATTATTTTCTGACTGACAACATACTTTTTATTTTTAGGAATATATTTTTTAGACTTAAGTTCTTTTTTTAACTTTTTTATTTCTGCAACAAGCCTGTTGCATTTCTTTTTATAAAAGTTATTTGACTCAGAATTTTTTTTACATTTTTCGCAAGTAGATACTTCTTCTTCTACAACAATTTCGGGCTCAATAAATTCAACAGAATTATTTTCCAGTTCAATTTCTAAGTTCAAAGTCGGAATAGCTTCGCTTTTCAACTTTTTCTTCCCTATATATGCGCTAGAAAAATGATCATCGCATATAATCAGTTTTTGTTCATAATTCTCCAGTGCAACACAACATTTTTCGCGCCAAATTTGACCAATAATGCTGTCTGCAGGCGGAAAATTAAACATTTTTATACCAGGATTGGTACGCCTTGATTTTTGGCATGTCTTCACAATGCATTGCCGGCCGGACTTTGCATCACCTTTTCTTATTCCGCTCATATTTTTTTACAACTGATTGCACTGATTGCTAAACAAGAAGTGAAGAAGCGAGCCTGGCATGAGCTCGAGCCAACCCAGAAATAAGCTTGTAGTTGTGTATATGTGTGTATGTCCTAGGTCGGCACGGCCATAAACCGGTTTCGGTTTCACATAAGCGCACTGAAAGCATGTCAGTGTCTGCGTGCCGAAACCGTAGGGCAGCGTGGTCGCTGATGTCTTTGGCGCGGCACAGTGGGGTCTCAGCCGAAATAGTCAAAAAATTGTATGAGTGCTTTAGATAAATTTAATGTACGCATCTAATAGAGAATTTTCCAATCGAATTTTCAAGATAGTTTTAGTTTAGGAGATATAAGCACTCAAAGTTTAACATTTTTTCAGTGTGCAAATGTTTATTGAACTCATATTCACTAACTAATTTAGCAAGCTGAGACGGCCAAAGGTCCCACTGTGCCTCTCCAAAGACATCAGCGACCACGCTGCCCTACGGTTTCGGCACGCAGACGATTCATATTTTGTTTTTGTATTCTTTGTCTCGAGACACACCGACTCGACGCTGACCGAGGCATTGACGAAGCCGAGTAGCATTTCGGAGGCGAAGGTAGCGTAAAAGAGAATTGAAGTAATAGCCCCTCGCGCCCGTACCATGAAGCGTCAAACGAAAATTGAAAAAGAATTTGTTCCTAATGCAACATCTTGGTATTGTATAGTTTTTGATATCATGTAGTTCGGCTGTGTAAAAGTTGAAAAGGGTTGGGCTGAGACAGCTACCTTGGCTAACACCTCTGTTCACCTCTACCTCGCTTTTGCCCTTTATGAGAATTCGTCTGTTAAGGAAGCTGGATATCCAAGCCGTAAGGCTTGTATTGAACCGCATATCCCTCATCCTGTGCTCGAGTGTGTCCACTCTTACGCAGTCGAACGCTCTTTGTAAATCTAGGCAAGCTGCGACAACCTGACAACCCCTCGCCTTCAGCGCCAGAACTTTGTTGATAAGGTCGTTGATCCAAAGAGCCGTGGACCTGTTTCTCCTGAAGGCATAGGACCTGTCCGGCAGCAGGTCACAGTTTGCGTCCAACTTCAACTTTATCAACCCCTCTATGGATTTAAACAGCGTGTTAATCAAACAAATCGGCCTATGGTTTTGGAAGGAAGTAGGGTCTGCATTCTACCACTTTTATCCTGACGGGATGACGCCACTCAGCCATACTTTATTTATAATTTCAAAAATGTCTTGTTTGTTTCCCACTTGGTAGCTTTTGAAGCATCCTGAACAAGATGCCATCAGGGCATCCGAATTGGGGTTCCTGGTTTTTAGGAAGGCCAGGAATTCTTCCAGTTCCAGGGGTTCCGGGTCGTCTGGTCCTAACAAAGGGGCAGGAATTTTCTTAGGGGGCCTACTGTTTGACGTGGATGGGGTTACTTTAACCATATTGAGAAAGTTTTTGTCATCTTCGTTCGTCCATTTGTTCCCTACATTTTTGATTTGACCGTATTTTTTGATTATCTTCACCCTGCTCCACATAGAGGGCGATGAAGAGACCTCTTCTATAAACTTGGAAAAGTTGCTCTTTCTAAGATGTTTTACGTGATTTTGTAGATTTTTGTCAGCTTCTAAGGTTGCTCTGGCATCAGCCAATTTTTTGGTGAGGTAGAATTTTTGCCTGCAAGCGTTTCTCACGCGAAAAAGTTTTTCCGTTTTTCCGTGTTTTTTAAGGTCAACGATTTCACTTTTTCATTGAGCTCCTCCAGATTTGAGAAGTCACTTGCACCCAGAATCCGGGCTATTCTGTGGTGAAGGATCTTCTTGCCTTGGAGGGGGTCATTAAGGCCTTGCACTGATATTACAATTGGGAAGTGGTTGCTGTTCGTAATTTTTGTTTTAAGGACTTGCCAGTTAATAGTTCCATTTCTGTAGTTCGAAAAAGAAAGGTCAAGAACAGAGAATTGAGATGAGCTCCTGGAGAAGGTTGGCGAACCGTCGTTTAGGCAGATAAATCCGGCCTCTCGGGTGGAATTCTCAATGCTGCGACCCTTGCGATCACAGATCGGATTTCCACAGATAGAAGACCTAGCGTAGAAGTTGAACCTAGTCCCCGCCCACTATTGAGGGTAAGTCAAGCGAAGCCGCGAATTCGAAAACCTTTTTTGTGCCCGATTTAAACTGTGAAACTGTTGTTGATGGCGGTTTATATATGCTAAAAAATATTGAAATTGCTCTTGAGGTTTAATGTTTTTATTCCTAAAATTTCCAAGTCGTTCTCTATTTTTAAAATGCTGAATTGAATGTTTTTCCTGACGTAGATGCCAACCCCGCCGTAGCCGTCCTCTCTGGGCCTGCAGAAAAAGTTATAGTCTAAAATGCTGCAGTCCGCGTTGTTCAGCACCCAAATCTCTGAGAGGATGGCAATATCTATTGCGTTCTTGTCTAGGAACATTGAGAGGAGCTGTTTGTGTGTTGTTGTGTGTCAGACTTTGAATATTTAGCTGAAGAATCTTCATTGTTGGTGGTTTTGAGAACCAACTGCCATCCCTTGGGCAATCTGACGCCTATCTAGTTCTGCGTTGGAAGCATTCACAAATTCTCTGATTTCCCTTTAATGATATTGTTTGGATCAATCAGGAACGCTGTGAGTTTGGCTCCTAGTGCGTTTAGCTTATCCTGGGCCAGAGAAGATGTCACGGATGAAGATCTAACAAATTTCTCGCTCATTTGGACGCAGTCTGAGTTTATAGAGTTCTTCCACTCTGCCATGTTGGCTGCTGCCTTGGCCGCCTCTGCGTTCCGGGCGGCAAGCCTATTGGATTTGGCCACTTCCGCGAAAGAGGTGACAGAATGAATTTCCCTGGCGGACTCTGAGCTGTTATTTAATAATTCAGTGGAGCGGTTAGATTGCCAACTGGGTCTGGGAAATTCCCTTTGATCCCTTAGGTTGGGGGAAGTTCTATCAAAAAGGATCGGATATCTAGCCTTGACCTCAGCTCTAGTTAGGTTTTCCAGTGTCATACACTTTTGAATGGCGTACGCTTTTTTCCTGGCCTCACACTGCGGGTGGGTGGCAGCATGTTCCCCCTTGCAGTTAGCACAGGCCCTCCCTGAGCAGATAATATCCTTGCTGTGATCTTGTCCGCATTTGAAACATTTCGCTCCACTCTTGCAATGTTGCGCCAGATTGCCAAGCCTAAAGCATCTGAAACATTGAATAAGCTGAACAAAAGGTTTCACTTCTACTTTAGAATATAGAAAATTGATTTTGGTTGGTAACTGCTCTCCTCTGAACCAGAGTTTCACCCTGCCAGGAACGTGTACCGTTCCCCCGATGCTCTATCCCTTCGCGTAATCCGAACTATCTCCTCAATTGGGATGTCCGAGGTTACAAGCTCTGCTAGCTGTTCCTCCGAGTAGTGCCCGGGGATCCCAAAAATTAACCCTGCTTTTTGGACGAAGTGCCTAAAGATTCGGGTTGAGTACCCTTGAGCAGCGAAAACACTGTTTTCCACTAGACCGTTTACACACTCCGCCGACCCGCACACAATCTTGCACATGCCATAGCCCATTCTAGCAACATCCTCGATATCGCTAATGCCCTGTTTCAGCAGCAGATCGGATAGATCAAACTGGTTTATAGCAATTCTGGCATTATTCGCACTCATTTTATCGATACAAACAATGTATGGGCCTTTATGCCCCTCATAATACTTGTTAACGATGATTTTACGGTTATTTCCGTTTTTCGTACTCACGGAAGCCACACAAACCGCGTCAGTCTTCTCTCTCTCTTTCGTCGTAGAAATGTTTGCTGTCATGCTTGTTGTCGTGTTCGTGGACATGTTTGTCGACACGTTCGTCGACAAGTTTGGTTTCTTGCACAGCAGTTTAGAAGCCAAAAGATGCGGAGCCGTTTTTGCCGCCATCTTTACTCCTGCCCGCATGGCGGATTTAGCTTCTCCTTCCCTTTTTTCAGCGTTTCCATGCGAATTTTAACTCCCGTCGCCTTCTCCGTGGCCATTCTTGTCTTTCCCTATGCTTGTCTAGACGGAGTTCTAAGAGCCGTTTTAAGAGTTATTCCGAAACGCCATGCAGTAAATTCCAGGTTTTTCGACTTAATTGATGAAGCTTTGGGAATTTCTTCGCGCCGCCTTCGTAGGCGTGTGAGGCGCCCCCAGAAGGAAAATGTCTTTTTGATTAAAACTATCAGCGAATGTCTTGAAATATGTTAATTTTTTTCCTTCCGCAAACAATTTTAGGTACGCGCCATACCAGTGTTGAACAACGAATGCGCTTTTTAACTTAATAATTTATAATTTACAGAAAAACACCTACCATCTTTGAGGAAATATACGTTAATGTCTTGTTTTAGTTGTTGTTGGACTTATCGATAAAATAACCATCAGAAGTATACCAATATATACCGTCTCATTTTCAAAATATGTCGCAAAAATACTGACGAATTATCCAAGTTCCATCGTACATATTCCTCTATTTTGATATTCCGTGGAATACTACTAGCTAGATAGAACATTTAGCCCTGCCCACACAATTGTATTATTTATGAACCTATTTTCTACTTGGCTGGCATATGTTAAACACTAGCTTCTATTTTATTTACCTAAAAATAGGTTTTAGCGAAAAAGGTCAAACAAAAAAAACGTAAGTGAGTAATCGTTCCTATTGCTAAATTTTGATGGTCCGTTGAATAATGCTGCCCACATAGTTCTATCCCATTGATGAATACATTTTCTACAAGATTAAATACCCTTAAGTACTCCCATTTGTTGTATTTTGACTTAAACACGTTTTAAACAAAAAAGTTCAGCAATAAAACAGTCGAATTGTTGTCACGTCAATGTTGCTGGTATTTTCAGACTTGTTGCTAGTAAACCGGAGTATGGCCATTTGTATACCCTATTTCGTTAATTTAATATGTTTTCCAAACTGTTTTTAAAACATAATTAATAAAGAAATGTTCTCAAATTGATATGTTTTAAAAGTATTCATGCATTTGTTTAGTTTCTTGTATATACATGTATCTTGATCCCGATACCATTTCAATACCTTCAAAATATCGCTGAAATACCTTTTAAACAGAGACTGATTGAAACTGCATTCATGAGAACCTCGGATGAATATTTCTACAATATTCTTTTTGCAGGTACCATTCCACTGCTCATGCTGCTAATGCGCGAGTAGCATGAAATGGTCACACAAATATTAATCGCACTTTATTATCGAAATATCGTTTTACAGCACTATCAGCCGGTGAACCAAATCAACAAATAGAATTTCTAAAAAATTTAATAATTGGAATTGGATCAATTAAAAGAGTAGACAAATCTTCCATAGAGAAAGCAATACACAGCATAAGCCCGCTAAAATGCCTTCCTACGAGCTAGCCCTGGTGCTGCGTCAATTGCCTCGCGTAAGTCACGTTTGAGAATTCCCGCAGCGTTACATAAAAGTAAATATTATTATTATTAATAACCGTTTAAATGACAGCCCGAACTGATATCCGTGATACGCCGCACCGCCGAAGCAATATTGGACAAAGGAGGCATCATTCGGAAGCTGGAGAATCTCGGCACGCGGGCGTTGCCCCACAAAGTCAGTGAGCACGGGGTGGTGCATCGCGTGGGAACGCACTTCACAATCGCCTTCGACACGGCGCCCACGAAGATCTCGGACCTCAAGGAAGAGTTTGGCCGCGACATCGACATTGTGCGGCGGTACATCTTCAAGGTCGAGGAGCCGGAGGAGCACAAGTGCACGCTGCACGAGGAGATGTTGCCGCCCGCCTACCGCAAGGATGTCCAGCAGCTGATAGCGACGGCCCAAAAGAAGCAGAAACCGAAGTACAACTACAACTCGGGTCTGGACTACTATCCCTTCCAGAAGTAGAGGGCCTCCAAGTCGAATAAAATCTGTTAATGTATTTAAATGGTAAAATGATTTGTAGATAGGCGTGTGTTGTGCCGTCGTGCACTGGGGGATTTCGTCGTTCAACGCTCCTCTTACGAAATGTGTCTGCTGCTTATGCTTATCGGGGCATTTTGCACTACAAGTATTGGTCTTTATTTAGTTTATGGCGCGCAATCAACACCGTTACTTATCAGCAATTGATAAATAAACCCAATAAACATCGACGATTGGAAGAAGCAACGGCCCAAGTGGAAGTAGTGCCCCAAGAACCTTCGAGTAGACCAGAACAGAACAGAACACACAGAAATGCCGCCCCAGATACGTGCCCTCACGCCTGAGCTGCAGCAGACGGCCAACGAGCAGCTGCACGAGGTGCCCGATCGCCTCGAAGCGGATCTGGAGGCATTCAAGACCTGGATCAAGCAGCAGCCGCACCTCAATTCGCGCACAGACGACCAGTTCCTGGTGGCCTTTCTGCGCGGCTGCAAGTTCAGTCTGGAGCGGGCCAAGTCCAAGCTGGACAAGTACTACACACTGCGCACCAAATATCCAGACCACTTCAACGTGACCACCACCAGGGGTCCCAAGTTTCGCGAGATTCATCAAACGGGGTAAGCTTTCGCTCACGGAAAACTCTTATGAATCGAATCGAAGTCCATTCATATCTTTGGCTCTCATAAACAGGGCGCTAGTCTACCTGCCGACTCCCCTGAACGGTAATGGGCCTCGCATTGCCATTTGGCGGATGGGGCTCTGTCCCGTGGAGAAGTACAACATTCTGGAGTGTATGCAGGTGGCGCAGGCCATGCAGGAGATCACCATCTTGGAGGATGACTACGCCAATGTCAATGGCATCGTGTTCATCATGGACATGAAGGGAGCCACAGCGGCGCACATGTTCCAGATGACGCCCTCGATGGCCAAGAAGTTCACGGTCTTCTCCGAGGAGGCGCTGCCACTGCGGCCCAAGGCCCAGCACTTTATCAACACCATCACGGGCTTCGAGCAGGTCTTCAACATCTTTAAGCCTATGATGTCCAAGAAGATGCAGGGCCGCCTTTTTGTCCATGGCAGCAAAATGGGGCTACTCACGGAACAGGTTCCGCTCCAGTACCTGTCCAAAAACTACGGCGGAGAGAACGGCGCCATCGAGGATATCGTCGCGGCGTGGGAAAAGAAGTTTGACGAGTACGAAGACTTCTTCCAGGCCAACGCCACCTACCGCACGGATGAGAGCCTGCGCCCCGGTAATCCCATCGACTTTGAGGGTCTCTTTGGCATCGAGGGATCCTTCCGGAAGCTGAATGTGGACTAAAGCAATCGGGGATTGTCTCTGTTACTCGTACTGTATTCTACGAATTTGTTTTATTGTTAAAATGAACTTGTTACTATCATCTAAAGAAGCATATCCTTCGCTGCCACTTTGTGGGGGTCGACTCAAACATCTTTCGCCGGTCCAGAGTCTGCTCCAGGTAGATATCTATCTGCTTCTCCACGTCCGAGCGCCATTTTAGCTCCAGGAAGAGCGGAAACACCTCGCCCGCTTTTTTGAGTCTCTTCTCCGCCCTTTGATAACATTTCCAGGGCTGTGGCTCCACCACGAGTAGCTCTGACAAATGCGTCAGACTCCGCAGGAACAGTTTAAGGCCTTCGTCATGATGATTGAGGTGGATCCACATGGTGATGGAGTAGCAGCAGATGGCATCGAACTTCTGCCGCTCCTGGCCGTGCAAGTAGCTTAGCACTGTCTCAAAGTCCGATCCGTTCATCACATCTACGCACTCGTATGTGATCTTCTCGGGACAGGTGTTCTCCTCCTTGGCGCGCTGGATAAGTCGCTCGTCAATGTCCACGCCAAGAATCTGCACGGAGCGCTGCAGGCGTTCCTCCAGGTAGCTGTGCAGCATTTGGGTGAAGACGCCACAGTTACAGCCGACATCCAGAACGAGATAGGGCCGCTTCTCATCCTCTAGGACAGCAGGCAGCCAGATATCCTTGTCCGGCAGCAGCTTCACCCTCTCCGAGGCCGAATTGAATTGATAGTAATTCATGAAGTTTCCATATTGCACGGCCCCAGGATCATCGTTGCGGATTTCCATGTTAGTTATAGGGAGATGTTGCTGTTTATATTTCTGTTGTTTGCGGGCGCCCTGTGGGCCAACGTCTACGTCACAATCAGTGTAACCGCGGATTTATCGTTCAAATATACCGTCCGACCCTCAGAAATGCACCAAAATATACGGTCTCTTTTTTTATTAAATATTTTTTTAAATATGCCGCAAAAATACTGACGAATTATCCAAGTTCCATCGTACATATTTCTCAATTTTTATATTCCGTGGGATATTACTAGCTAGATAGAACATTTAGCTATGCCCACATAATTTTACACGATTTATGAATCAATTTTCTACCTGACTGGCTTATTTTAACCACTTGCTTTTATTGAATTTTTTCTAATTTGTGAAAAATGTCATGGAGCGAATCACTTGAGTAATCGCACAGTAAGCTTGTGAAGTTGGCAGCGCTTGAACACATCGACCTATCGATATATTTTAGCTAATTTTTACGTTGATTAAATCAGTTACGATACCATTGATTCCGAAAGAATTATTATTATATGAATGTTATTTTGTGTTTCATCGATTATGATTACGATTACTGATTTTATGTAATTTTTGAAATGCGCGCTTGCAATCTATGCCAGAGCGAAAGAAATATGCTATTTTGTATATGTACATACGAGTATGTATAGATTCACAGCAACAACTTTTGAGTTTACTGCTACTCTAAGGGTTTTTCCATTGCGATTTTTCAAAGAAAACCATTTTAATTTGAAGAATTTTATAATTTTCTATAAGATTTGAACATTTGGGAATCTTTTTTGAACAAGGACTCGTTAAAAATACCTCCAATGGTCGCCAAATCGCCCAAATGTAAAAAATTAGAGGTAAGGAATAAGAAACCACTGAATCTCAGAGGAAAATCATTCAGCTTTTTTCCAACCAATGCCAATCATAAGATAAAAAGTGTAGATTATAAATTAAAAAAAGGAACCGCCTTCCATTTGGCGCATGGTTCAACGGTTCAAAACAGATATTTGAAAGTCGAAAGTGAAATATTCATACAATATCATCATTTTTTTCATTTATTAACTGCATTCATTATTTATACGTTTCAATGCCCTTCCATCTCCAGCTGCTTAAATAGCTCTAACAATTTTCGTACATATACAAATCGATAACATCTTCCTATTTTTGAGGTAAAATTAAATAACATAAATTTAAATGTACAACAGAATATACACAATGTTTGTTTTGGTTTTTTTTTTGTTGGCATGTTTGCGGATAATAATTAACAACAAACACTCCATGGTCGCCCAGGGGCGCATCGCCGGCCAGGGCGGGGAAACTGAATTTAACCCACTAAGGGAACTAGGCAAAATCGCAACAGTCTGTTGGGCCCCCGGCCAGAGGTGCGCCCCTGAGCACGGCCAAATCAAGATGTACCCTAACCATGACCGAAACTTGCCTCTAGCTTACATTTACATACGTTACGGTTCTTACTAGCCCCCCGATTTAAGTTATTTATATTATTTAGTTATTTATTTATTATTTTCTACGAACTATTGGAAATGTTTTTGCTTTTTTGTTGGGGATTTTACTGAATCAAATTTTGCCATTCGTTCTAGGATCGTTTAATTTCTGGGCGTTTTTTTTTGTTATTTTGGGTTGGCTTTTCTATTCGCATTTGGTTTTTGATCTCGAAGCGTGCGAATATATTTGAATTGAAAGGTTTTTCTGAACTCTTTTCGGCATTGTTTGGCAAATTGTTTGAATAAACTCTACATGATTTTTGTAAAATACTAAATGCTACTTAATATGGACTTTGAAAAAGGTTCTTTACTTCTTATGTTGTTTTTGTATTGTTTTTGTTTTCTTGTAGAACTTTTGCATACAATACGAGTACGCTTTAAATAATCGAATCTATAATCTCGACAGATTTACATAGTAGTAAGTAGCGCTATGATTTTTGGTTAGCAAAACTCTAGTTGAACTGTAAACCGGAAACGGAAGTGCTGCTAGCCGTTTCCTGAATTTTGAATTGTCTCTCGTCTACGATCGGAATTAGAATCGTTGCTAAACTAGGGGCGTGGTTTGGATCTATGTATATAGTAGAGATAAGTCAATCCAATCGAATCGAATCGAATATACTTAGGCATATGTAGGTGTATATATATGTATATATATACGTGTTAAGCTCATAAATACACAATACATAATAATCGGTCAATCAATCAATCAATGCATTAGTCAATTAATCAATCATAATTAGATACCGCTAAAAACTCTTAGTCTAGCTTACCGACTAGGATATACGAGTAGGTATGAAAATGTCTTTCAACTTTTGTCTGTGTGCTGTCTATGGCTGTGTGGTGTCTATGGCTGTGTGGTGTCTATGGCTGTGTGGTGGTTGAGTGGCTGATTGACTCAGTGGCTCAGTGGCTGAGTGGTGCTGTGACTGTGGCTGTGACTGTGACTGTTGTTTGAGTGAGTGGAGTGGAGTGAAGTGGACTGTTGGCATTCATTTCATTATGTCACGTATTGCCAAACGGGCCTTCGTAAATATGCAACTATATGGCAAACAGCAAGTAAGGAAAGAGTGTGTGTATTTCTGTTCTGTTCAGTTCTGTACTGTTCTGTTTTTTTTCAGAGACATAGACTTGGACAGAGACAGAGATAGAGAGATGGCTCAAGATGCAATTACAACCAATTTTACTTGCGGGAATTTTTAAGTTTGCTTTAAAGGGATTTCGGGGTGGGGGTTTTGTTTTTTGTTTTGGGGGGATATTTGAACGGGGGCATAGGGATTTGAGGTAATGAAAATCTAAATCTAACTCTAGTCATCTGGGTCCAACCCGATTAGCTCAGCTTGCAAACGGCCCTTAGTCTTACAACAAATGGTTAAGCAAAATACTCTCAAAGCGATACGAAATTGCGGCGACATACTGGTCATGATCAGAATTTTCCAAAATGAATTCAATATGCCAATCCAAACGACTGCGAAATTGATAAGAGTACTTTGGATAACGTCGCCCGTGACCACCTCATACAGCCTCACTGAGATCCATGGCAGCCAGGACATCCAGAATGCAAAGACTAATGCGAATGACATCATATGACTAGGGTTTGACAAATTTTCAGCCAGAGCAGTTGCATATTCTTTATCGTGTATTGGCTCGCCCGATCTTATTTTACGCATCATTACAAAGATATAGCCGTAGTTGTGTACGATCGATATGAGGCTGGGACCTAAAACTAATATCGCCAGTGTGGCACTGTACGCCGCCATGTTGCCCCAGTCCAGCATGCAGATGTGCGATAGATTGTTCTCAATCGGCTTCGTGTAGCCCAGAATGGGCGGGCAGCACAGCAGTCCAGCGGATATCCAGGTGAACACCATCCAGCACTGGCAGCTACAGAAACAGATACACAAGAAGGCGAGAAAAAGGGAAATACTGTGTGTGAATATCGAGACCTTAAAACGGAGCGAATCCCAGGCGATACGAGTACAACTGCAATGTAAACTTTTAGAGAAAATAATAATACCACGATTGCGATAGAGATAGAGAACAGCGAGACACTGCGACCTAGATTCTAGAGGAAAGAAGAAACGAGTGCTAAATACCCATGCAGACAGATCTGATCTGAAATTATGGTGATCCTATAAAGGGTATAGAGGGTCCTCTGCAAGGGTATAGAAAACAATTTGGAGCGTCGTCCGACAATCACTTACCGCGTTTTTGTCTGCACCGTCTCATAGCGCAGGGGCTTGCGCACCGCCAGATAGCGATCCACCGATATCCACATGAATGTGTATACGGACACCGCCCAAAGGGTCACCTCCAGGTAGCCCGTGAAGCGGCACAGTATGTCCCCGTACATCCACTCGCCCGTGAGGGCGGGATACACGGAGAACGGCACAACCAGGAGGCCGCATAGCAGATCGGCTATGGCCAGGGATAGCAGATAGTAATTGATAACCTCTGTGGGACCTGCACGGGAAATGGGAAATGGACACACAATTAATCTGTGATTCGATTCGAGGCTTCTTCAGCCTACGCACCCTTGAAATTGGCATAGGTGGCAATGATGAGGAGATTGGAGAGCACTATCGCCACGCCCAGTATGGAGATGAGCACGGCTTTGGTGAGGGCCTCCACTTTGGAATTATCCTGCAGGTAGCTCATTTCCTGCATTTTTGCCAGCCACAGCGAGTGAAAGTTTTCCCTCAAGGTTGGCTTTTCTCTCCCTCCCTTTTGGATCCTCTTCCTGCTGCTAGTGCTGCTGCTGCTGCTGCTTCTGCTGCTTCTGCTGCTGCTGATTGTTATGCAAAGGCCAGTGGACGTGACCGTAGCTCACTTCCGGTCATGGCGGCCACCCATATGAAGTCTACTCTCGGTGGAGGGGGGAGGGGTTTCCTATATATGTCTAAGGGTATGTGTTACTGTGTGTGTCTAAGTGTGTTCGTGGGTGTGTCTGTGTCGGTGTCTGTGTGTGTGTGTGAGTGGCGTCCTTTATTGTGCAACCGCCGACGCTTGCACACGCGAAGGTCGTCGCTGTCCTTGTATGCCACTGGGCGCCTTGGAGGTCCAAATTTGTATAAATTTAGGCGCTGGCACAGAGCCAAACGGCGCCACAGTCGGCACACGGGCCGATTGTGTGTGTAATTTGATTGTTCTTGTTCTTTGGGCTGCCTTGCCTGCCTGGCCTGCCTCGTGTTGTGTTTCTATTACAACCCTCCTGTAGTAGCCGTAACCGTAGCCGTGGGCTGGCTCTGGCTCTGGTTAAGGTTAAGGATAATGTTCGGCTCGTGTGTGGTTTCTGTGGGGCATGTCTTGAGAGGAGTGTGTTTGAAGCTCGTTTAAAAGTTTTGATTAAAATGTCTCTGGATTTAAAACCTACTAATTGCGTACCATTTATTATGTACTCTCTATGTATGTTCTGTTTTGTTCTGTTCTGTTTTGTTCTGTTCAACGGTTCTGTTCTTCTTTGGTTCTCTTTTTCTTTAAGATTCACAACTCTGTTTTTGTTTTTGTTTTTGTTTTTGTTTTTGTTTTCTCTCTCTCTTTTTGTATGCCCTAACTTGAATCGCAAAGGCTTTAACGAACTTGTTATTTAAGTTAATGTTTTGGTAATTAATTTGCTACTAACTTTAAATATCGATTCGATTTACTCGAAATTGGAAGAATAATGATTATTTAGTATATATCTTTGTTAATTAATTTTATAATTTTAATAATTACGCGCATTGATGTCTGGCTGTTCGTTCGTTCGTTCAATCGTTCAATCGTTCAATCGTACAATCGTTTAATCGATCAATCGTTCATTCGTTCGTTCTTCTTTAATTTGTAGTTAATTTTTTGTTTGATTGTTGACTATAATTTAAGCACAGCACAAATGTTGCTTTGGTGTTTTGTAAGGCTCCTTTCTGATGTTGGATGTGAGATGCTGAATGTTGATCTGATGTGTGCCACATTTACGAGCACGAGTACGGTTACGAGTACGAGCTATTAAAGTTGTTAAAATGTTTCGTAGTTTTTGCTGGTTGCGTTTTGTCCGCGTTATCCGTTTTATCCGTTCGCTGTTTGGTTATTCATCTGATTATCCATTTGCTTAATTCTGTAAATTCTGGCTGTGGTTTTAGGCATCGTCCTTGTCCCTCGTCATCCTTGTGTCAGTTTAAGCTAATTGTGCGCATCTGAAAGGACAAAAGGGAACCAATTTGAATGCTTGGGAACTGTAGAAGTACTCCCCTATCCCCTATCCCCATTCCAGAGCTAATCAATAAATTATTACCACATACGAGTACGAGTGGCAGGCGGCAAAAGCCTTTTAGCTGCACAAACGCTTTACATAAGCGTGCTTATCCTGCCCTGCCCCTGCCCCAGCCCCTCCCCTGCCACTTGCCTGCCACCCATGCCCAACGTCCCTGCCCTCTCTGTCCCTCTCGTTCTATCGTCCTGCTGCATTGACCCACTTTGGCTGGCGGCACACTTGACACAGTTTGAGAGCCATCGCTGTCACGGCGCCGCTGCTCAAACTATGTCCGCCTCCGCACCCGCCTCCTCTGACAATGGCAGTGTCAAGTGCGGCATCGACAAGAACTTCCTCCATTTTGGGTCTACACTTGACAAAGAAAAAATATATATATATATATCTTACATTTTGGATAATCGTATCCGTATATGTATCCTTAGATATATAAAACTTCTAGCAAATGCCTGCATAAATCTGTAAAACCATTCTTTCTTTGTCTGTTAGTTATGGCCTTCCCTCCGCCAATCGATCAGCAGCTGTAGTTCCGCCCATTCTATCCAAGAATATCCATCCTTCTACTCCCGCCAACTCCATCCTCCGCAAATCAGAGCCCATCAGCATCATTTACGACGTCATCCTGCCATTTTCTACGCAGACACAAACACAAACACAAACACAGGCACAGGCACACCATTACATTATCAGAGGCCATTAGAAATCAGCAGGAGGTGGCCATAAGGGCTATGTGTAACGGCCGCTGCTGATGCGAGGGGCGGGTAGGTGTGGCATTGTGTGAGGTAACAAGTTTGTCATTTAAGTTGTCATCTGTCTCACTCACTCACTCACTCGCTATCTCTTTCACTCGGAACTTGGTAATTTAATTAACGCTAACGGGGCACGTCGCTTTGGGTTCGACAGTCAGTCAGCCAGCCACTGGCACTGCCACTGCCACTGCCACTGGCACTGGCACTGCGGTGGCCAGGTGATAAATATCAATGAATTGCATTAGCTTGGAAAAGCTCCCCTACCGTAGGAGAACAACTGATTACATAAGCGCCACCTGCAGTTGATGACGGCACGGTCTGGGCACGGTGGGGTGCGGGGGAAACGTCATTTGTGCAAATGACTTCCTGGCTTCCTGGCTTCCTGACCCATGAACCAACTCCAATCAACTCGGCGACGACGTCCGTGGCAGCAATTACAGCGAAATAAGTGTTATTGCCGGGAACTTATCCAAAGCCGTAGCCGTAGCCGTAGCCGGAGCCGTCGATTTGTATCCACATAATGAGGGACCCCGAGTCGAACTGCGACCCATCCGCATGAGGAATGGAAAATGGGTTCAGCGAACCCTGCCGCACACACCCAAGGAAAGAGAGAGCAAAAGCGGGGGCTTTTCTTCGAAGGAAAGGATAATCAATAAGCCCATGCATGTGATTAATTATGTAAATAATTTCATTGTTCTTTGAAGAGCGAACGGGAACGGGAAGGAGAAGGAGAAGAAGCGAGAACCGAGTGAATGGCGGCGTACGGCTCTTTGCCGGCTAACGGCCTGATGAGATTTTGATTGCCACTGGGGCACGCTGCTCATTATGAGAGCGTGGCATAATTAAAAATAAAACGGTGGTCTGCCAGCCAAAGGTCTTTATATCCTGTCGAGCTCTGAGCGAAAGAGTGAGATTCGAGGGAAGGACATTCAAGGAGTCCAAGGGATAGTATCTACAAGAGGGGTACAATCATAATGTAGACCTTATCCTTGCCGAATGTACTCCGAATCCCTTCGAATTAAAGGGAAGCCTGGCTGGCATGACACACTTTCATCGGGCTTAATTCTCCTTTCACCTTTTACCCGCCATAGTCAGCAGATAATACAACTACGAGTATCTGCTGCTCTACTTTTCCGAAACGCACTGTATGTGTGTGTGTGTGTGTGTGTGCGTGCCCATTTCCCGTTTTGTGGATTTTTTTTCAGCGAAAGCCCATAAAATATGTATTCCCATGCGTGTTTATGCCGCCGCACAGCAGACACAAATGGCACCCCAGAACCAGAAGCACATCCACATCCACATCCATATCCATATCCATATCCACATCCATCGACTGTGACACAGCGTCCTATCGGTCGGATGGGGTCGGGAGGCCCATAAAATTATATTCAAATGGCGGCCTGGCGGCCAGGCAGGACAGGTGGTAGGGTGTGAAAAGTAGAAGCGAAACCAGAGCTTTCAGTTCCTATAAATATACCTTTGGGGGGGCGGAATGAGACTCTCATACACCTGCAGACGTACATGTACATATATATACGTGTCTGTATGTATGTATGTGTGAAACAAATTGCGGAACATCGCAACAAAGGCCAAGGCGAGTTGCAGGCTGAAGAAGGATACCCATTTGATGACGTTGGCAGTGGCAGACTCTTGGCAGAAGGGACCTGAGGGCGGAATGTGGCAAGGCTGCTGCGGATGGGTGCCACGTCATCATCGTCACCATCACCATCACCATCACCATCCACATCCACATCCACGTGGGTCTGTCTTTATATAAGCATGACCTCACCTTGGCGCCAGGCACAGAGACCTATGCCTGGCTTTGCTTTTTCTCTTTTATTTATAGTATTTACTTGTTTCGCTCAGTGCATCTCCTGGGAGGCGCGGGGATGGCGGGGCAGGCAATGCATAATTTATGCTTACGCATGTCAAATGCCGCATATGGCAGGATATTTTCGGCCTTGCTGGGGCTGGGGCTGGGGCTGGGACCTGGCAGCTCCTGTCACTCGGTAGCTTAATAACTTTCCGCCAGTTGCCAGTCACCAGTCGCTAGTCGCCCCTGCAGCCAGTCAGCCTGTTGCTTTTCCAAAAACTGAAAAACTTTTGGCCGCAAACTTTTCGTCAGACCAAATGCCTGCAGGCGAAAGTGCAATTAGTTAGAGGGAGAACGCAACAGTTTTCCCAGCACTACATAAGGAATGCAATAAAAACCAAAAGAAAAAAAACCAACCAATTTTCCTGGAACATGCCCCTGACAGCTGTCTGTGGGGGGTGGTGCGTGATTGGCTCTGAAACTGAAATTCACGTGCCACCCGCTGCTGTGGCCATAAACGGAAAGAAGTCACTCCATTCGACTGGCTGGAATGTGAAATGCCGTACAACATGTCGTATACGCAATGCTTTTATTTGGGCCAATTTTGCCTCGTCAAATAGGGGAGCAGAGGGTGATGCGGTAGGGAGGAGGGGGGGGGGGGGTGGGGGGAGATGACTGTCCAAGGACAAACAGCGTCTTGGTGACGCGCGCGTGTTTAGTTTTATATTGTTTTTTGTTTCCCTTTGGCATCGCATGGACATCCCCTCAGATTTCAGTTGATTTCCCTTTGGAAAAAACTTTTGCTAGCTGTGAGTGCAAGGGACAAAATGTTGCAAGTTCACCCAATGGCAACCCCCTGGCATCCTCCTAGCTCTTTTTCGCTTTCCTTTTTAGTTTTGTGCAGACCACGTGACGTATGCGTAATAAATAAAAGTGGCGGTGGCGGTGGCCCCATCGCTGCGCTAAGGGCAATTGTGCTGGCTCCTGGCAGCGGCTTGGGCACACCCCCGCGACACACACATAGACACTTCCTCACACACACACACACACGGACACACGGACACAATCAAATACCTAACAATCGATCAATAAAATACAACCGAAAAAAAAACAACAAAAAAAGCAACAAACGAATTTCGTTTCATTGCTGCGACTTGACATTCAGCCAAGGCGTCGGCCACACTGCCACAGTGGCACAGTGGCACAGTGGCACAGTGGCACAGTGGCAGGCACTGTCAAAGCCAGTCAGTCGCCCAATCAATACGGCAATGCATCAATTTGTCATCCACGTTTGTCACTCACGTTTCTCATACCCGTACCCGTACCCGTACCCGTACCCGTACTCGTACCCGTACTCGTACCCGTACTCGTACCCGTACTCGTACCCGTACCCGTACTGTTGTGTTCTGTTCCGTTCTGTTCCTCTTTTATTGTGAATGCTGGCAACTTGTTTATTTGTTGGTGCTATTCGGTGTCTGATTGATAAGCAAGAAGAGGGGAATGGATCAAGCAAATGGCGGACTAAGGATAGGGCGCCTCCAACCTCCTGGTTGCAGTGGCACACACACGGCCCTCGCCTTGTTACTTGTATTTCATTTGCAATTGATTGGCTCAATGTGGCAGCTGACGCTGCAAGAGCTGCCAACTCTGGCCAGGACTGTGGCAAGGGCCCGAGCGGGGTAGGGCTCGTCGGATGGATGCCAGCACAGTTTGACATTCAACCAATTTGCTCGTTGCAGCTGCAAAGTGCACAGCAGTTAGCAATACACGAGAGTATCTGTGTATTGTATCTGGCGGGGAAATGTATCCGAAAGGACGAAATGTACGAGCATACGAGCAGTCCCTTCGGCCTAACCCTCTCCATGGGCAGCAATTAGTTGCCACTAGCCCCTGGCCACGCCCCTCACAAATATAGTATAAATCAAGGCGGCCAGAGGCCACAACTAATTAGGCAATGGGCAGGGCCAGAGGATAGGCAAGAATATTGCGATTTGTGTGCCGTGAAGGACGGGGGAGGCCGCCACTCCTGGAAGTGGAATTGGTGGGTGGAGGTCTGGAGAGTGGGTGTGTCCATTTAGGCCGGCCATCGACTTGTTTTGTTTTTCTTGGCCGCAGCGACAATTATTAGTTTAGTTTTTTGTTGTTGTTTTGGCTAAAATGTTTTCTTTACGTTTGGATAGATTCTGCCTTTCGGATACCCATCACCAGAAAAAGAGTAAGAAATTCGGGGTATATGAATTGAATGCTTGAGGATGTGATATAACAGAGGGTGCCCCACAAATAATCTGTGGCCCGGGGTAAGCCCTCAAATGAATGCTGAATTCTCTTGTTAAGTTCTCTTCCAATAAACTCATTCGTATCTGAATCTAAATTGATTTGCCGCAAAGCTTTGGCTTTTCTCTTTTTAGGGTATCTCTGTTGCTCGATTGCCCCTCCCTCAATCTATATATTTAGATGCCTATATAAATGTTGTTGTTATTGTTTTTGTTGTTGCTGCTGCTGTTGTTGCAACAAGAGTATTCCGAGATGTTTAATTTTAGCACCGCACATTTGTTTGTCTCATCTGTTTTAGCCTTGTTTTTTGTGTTGTTAAACGAAAGCCGCCAACGGGACCGACCATTTTCACTCTCACTTTCCAAAATCGTTCTTTCGTGCAAAATAAACGCCACAACGCCACAGCGCCACAAAGCCACAGCGGGGGCAGAAAGGCGGACACGTTGCGGCCATAAATCATGGTGGAATATACACACAAGTATCTTAGTATCTGAGGAAATGTGGGAATATCTCAAGTGTACCGAATTCCGCCGCCTTAATTATTTAAAATCGAATTAGGGAACGAATTCGAACACCGTGTCGTAGGTGGTGTGCGTCGCTTGTCCAAGGACGAATGCAAATGTCCAGCAGGAGCGTCCACCCCCCTGACACCCCCCACCCCCCTGAATACCAAAGTGTGTAGAGCGGCAGGTGCAGCCGCGTGCTGCTGTTTTTTGTTTGTATTCTTCGTTTTGTATCGAGCTAATTGAATACGTGAAGCGAAACACAAAGAAGCAGCTGGAAAAGGGAGAGCAGAAAAGAAACAACGAACGAAAGGATGGAAAACAATTACACGTCCCAGCTCATAACTGTAACTGGCTGCAGCTGCCACAAAACGGAGGGGCAGCCGGCCACAGAGGAAGCAGCAGCACAAGAAGAAGGGTAGGGAGAGGGAGGAGGAGCGTCATTTCGCATGTAAATTAGACTACGACAAGCGGCAGCCTTGAAGTATGCTATGAAATTTTGTGCTCGTTCACTGGACATGGGGAGGGGAGGGCTGGTGAGGGAGAGGCATGCCACAGTCGTGTTGCCCGGTTGCCCGGCTGCCCGGTCATGTGTGAAAAATGGCAACTGTGTCAGCACCCACACAGACCAGCAGAAGCACCAGCAGAAGCACCAGCAGAAGCAGCGTCAATTGCATTATTCAGTTAAGGTTGCAAGAACAAAAGCCACTCGGAACGGAACGGGTGTATGGTTCTCAGTTGATCAGAGAGCGGAAAAAGAACGGACTGAAGCAGGCCCTTGAATTATGCAAACAGCAGACCTTGAAGACTGTGCGCTACACGTAATTAAATATGGCGCGGTGCGGTGCGGAGCGGTGCGGGCAGGGAAACGGGGAAACGGGGAAAGCCCCAACTGGATTCGACTACTCCCCAACTGCCACAGACTGGCACAGACCACCACAGAGAATATGTAACGTGTGAAATTTCCCATTGTGTGATCGATAAAATGGTCTCTTGGCAGGAGGGAGGTCTTGGGTTTGGGCTTGCGATTGGGTCGGGGCTTGTCGACGCGTCCTTGAAGGCAAAATTTACGACAGAATAAACAACTTGGCGGCAGCGGCCTGGCCCCGGTCTGTGTCCGTGTCCCGGTCCTTCGGCGATAAGGATAAGGACACAGCGCTCCTTTGGCGCGCAATTTTATGACAGAGCAAAAGACAAATTGCCCATAAAATGTCAAAGTCAATAAAAAAAAAAAACCAAAAAAAGAAAGAACATCAGAGAGCAAAAGTGTGACGTGTGTGGTCCAGGGATGCGATGCGATATGTCCTTATACAATCATAGTCTGAGTGCCCGTCCATAGGGTATGATATCCCTGTAAATCCTGTCGGGGCCTCCCTGCATAAATTGAAATTTTCAGCAAACGAAATTTGCTTGGGAAATGATGCGCTCAGCCCCGAGCTTTTCCGTATTTGCGCAAAGTCTTTGGCTTTGGGCTAATCCCCTGCCTCCCGCCTCCCGGAATCATTCTTTGCATTGAGCTTTTCCAGCGAAATTCGCATTTTCCTCTTTTTTCTTTTTTGGGCTCTGCCTATTTTCGGTATCTCCGAATCAGCAGGCAGAGGGGCCAACAGAGAAGAAGTGGAGAGGAGAGGGACGTGACGGGACAAGACCCCCACTTCTTGTGATTCTCTCTTTTCGGGGTTGCTTATGTTTTGCTTGGCTCTTTCTTGGACGCTTCTTCCGTTCTATTGTCTTCTTCCTTTCGGTGCTTCTCTTCCTCTCTCTCTTTTGTGTTGAGGTAGGGTAGGGTAGGCTGGAGTTTGAGTCAAAGCTTGATTGTAGGATGCTATAATGCTACCCTCAATGGAGTTCTTCATTTACCGAAAATTCCCCTATCCCTTGGAAGCAGTTTTCTGCACTTTGAAAAGCTTCCCAAACCCTAGGAAAAGTTAGTCCCAAAATTTTGGATAAATTTCTGGCTTATGCTCACCTTTGACTGGACATCTTTTCTGTGGTTAAGGCCCAAAAATTGCTCTGATTTTTCCATTCAGCGTTTTTCAGTTTTCCCATTTGTTTGATTTATTTACTGATTTTTTGGTTTTTGTTTTGGTTTTTTTCTTGTTGTTGTTTGTTTTAGTATGTATGTATATCTATGATTATTTATAACATTTTTTTGTCTTGAACACTTTGTCTTTATCACTGTGGTTTACCCGTCTTTCATTTGGCTGCAACAACAGTTAAGAACTATAAAATATCTAGATAGATGTGAATCCGGCGGTCAGGTGGTCAGGTGTTAAATATCTAAAAGAAGTTTTGCCGACCACTAAGCTGGCTTTGGGGTCATATGTACATCCATCCATCGATCAAAAAATATACTAATTCAAGCTAAATTATTGATAAATTATACTGCCTAAAGAGTACTTAAGATAAGATACTGTATACGGCACAAGGAAGGCAACAATTTATGCCCCAAAACATTGAGTGTACTCCAAACATTCGAGTGTTTCCTTTGGTTTTTACTTTCACTTTTTTTTCCCTGGCTTTCCCGCCCACTTTCCATACACGTGCTCTCACTGAACTGACAATTTTTCAATGTTGTCATTAGCCTGGCAGCCTGACTTTTTTCGGGCCTTTACTTGTTGGCTCTTCTTTCGGCCTGGCCGCTCCTGCTCCTGCTGCTGCTGCTGCTGCTTCAGCTTTAGCCTTCAACACACATACACATGCAAAAAAAGGCACAAGCCCACCCACAACGACACACAGCAGCACTCTTCTCACAGACATGTGCGCAGGTGTGTGCCTTGATTTTTCAATTAGTCTCTGGCTCGACCCATCATTTTCCACACTTTAATTGAATTCGTTTCCTCTCCGTTTTTTGCATAGATCATTTATGGGACTTCTCTGCAGGAAATGTTATTTCTGCCACTTATTGTTAACCAAAAAAAAAAAAAGGGAAACAACTTTTCTGTTTTTGGCCAGGAACAGAAACAGAAAATTTTGTTTGCTGGCCGCTTGAGTCGCTCTGTGATTGTGTCTATGTGTTTGGGTGATTATGGGTGTATGTGTGTGTGGGTGTGTGTGTGTGTGTGTTACTGAGCCTGTGTCTGTGTGACCGTTTCCAACAACAACAACCACTGAACGCGCCCGCGCTGCTGCTAGTGCTGCTGCCGCTGCTGCTGCTGCTGCTGCCGTTCCGTTCCGTTCCGTTCGATGCGTGCGAAGATGCGACGCGCTCACTGTCTGACTGGCGACTGGGGCCACTGCTGCTCCACGCCCAGAGAGCCAGCACCAGCGCCAGCCAGCACCAGAGAACGCGTCCACCAGAGCGAGAGAGAGCGAGAGCGAGCAGCAGAGAGCGAGAGAGAGCCCCAGCGTCTAGCTGGAAGGCCGCTTGCCTGCAACAACACGCAACAGGAAAAAGCAGAGCGCGCAAGCTTTCGCCTACTTTCAGCGCCCGAAGCTCTTTCGTGAAAGCTCCCGCCCAACGCACATGGCTGGCGTTTGTTTATATTTGTGACAGGTAAAAATAGCACTGCATATTTTTGGGCTGCCTGCCGCCGCAGTGCGCATGCACGAGCCGCGCTTAAAATCGCTTTAAATTCCACTGTACTGTATATTTCGCAATTAATTTCCCAAAAGTTTTTGTTCATTTCCCTTCGAATTACAAGCCACCTAACCTGAAGGCATCCCACCTGCTGTCCCCGATCGGATACCACTGACATAGCTCAAGCCTCCAATTACTCAATGAACGGAAGCACGCCCTCCGGATTCTTCATGTACTTGGCCAAGCTCAATATGATGTGCCGATATATCTGATGATCCCGATAGGCGGCATTCGGTCGGCGCTTCAGAGGGGGCCTAGCAATATATACGATAGGACTTTGATTGGAGGATATCTATGTATTGTATTGTAGGGTATATAAGGTATACCTCGCAAGGGCTCGCTGTAGCCCGCGGAGACGTCGCGTCGACTCCATCTGGCGCCGACGTTCGCAGTAAGCGAAGTATCCGCAAATGAGGACCATCAGGGCGGACACCACGTAGATGAGCCAACTCCAGCCGAGGATGCTGCCAAAAGCGGATGCCATTTAGCATCTGTGCATCTGTAACGCCAAAGCGTTACTTTACTCACCCCACAAATGTTTCATTCAATTGCGGCCACGTGGGCATGACCGCCTGTTCCTTCTGCTCCAGGTCAACCTTCAGGTGATCGCCACTCCTGAGCGAGAATGGAAACATGATCGGGTCGGGGTTGGGTCGAGTAGTCTGACTTTTGGCTATCTTTCTTAATACGGAATCAATTTTGCCTCACAACAAATGTGCCGGGTGTGTGTGTGTGTTTCGAATTCAGGTTTTGTATCTAGAATGCAGTGCTAAATTTTCAAAATTATGTTCCGAATGTTTCGAATGTTGACGGAAGGCCTACTGTGTGTTTTCGTGGAATTCTAGGCACGACAGCAGCACCAGCCTCAGCCTCAGTCTCAGTCTCAATCTCACATCTCAGGTGTTGCTGCTTATCCTTAACAACCTGGAAGTGGCATCGCTTTACCCCGAGATGCGCTTAATACGGCTCCAAGGTTACGCGATCTACGATCTATGATCTACGGTCTACGATCGATTGGCGCATCATTTGGCTATTTCTAGTTGCACTTTTCGCCTTTGTTTTGCGATTTTTGCGATTTGTCTACGTTTTGTTGCAATTTGCAATGGCAATTCGTGCGCTTCCGTCAACGTTGTCCGTCTGGGGAAAAGCGTGATCATATAAATTATGGGTACGGGACCCCGTCACTGCCCCCCACACCCCCAATTCCCCCACTGCCTGACAGTGTCAAAAGAACATTTCCACAAATTTGTTGGGAAAATTTGCCTGGCGCTTGACACATTCGCTTCGGATTTATGGCCATGTCTCTTGGTCGAATTCCTTACTTTGCCACCCGCCCCCTTTCCCCTTCCTCGGCCCCTTGCCCGAAGTGACATTGCATATTGCCCCAAATTGAGGCAGCGCGCGCGTGCGCACGATTGTTGACCAGCCCAACCCAATCCAATCCAATCGAATCCAAATCGAAGCCCAGGCCAAACCCCAGATGCAAGGCATGACAGGGCGCCCTGAAAATTACGATCTTTTAGGCCAGAACCAAACCAGAAATATGCTGACACACGGCCGCCAAGAACTGAGTCGTGTTCTCCAACGAAATCTTTGCTGTTTAAGGAAGTTCTCTAAAGCCTCTCTTAACTCTCATCTAATAGTATCTCATCCAAGATCTCACGCTGATCCGATCTGATATGTTGCCTCGAAAAATTAAATTTCGTTCATGCCAGCACCCACCTGAGGATCCATTAAAGAAGATACAGTTTGGGGGCCCATCAAACGGCTGTCAAATTACCTAAACACCCAATGAAACGATGCTAGGCTGCATCTGGAGATGATGATGGTGATGACGATGAGTAACCCACACGAAATGAAATGCTAATGAATTGTTATCAGTTAATTGGCGGCGTTGGAGGGGGGTGGAGGAGGGGCTCCGTTGCTGGAACTGTGTTGCTTTGTTATCAGCTTTTGTATGCTTTATTTGAATTCGATTTGGAGATGCGACACTGACGCGTGGGTGTTCCCGTCCCCACTCAAGTGGCAACTAATAGCCCAATAAATTGTGATATGCGTATAAAGAGGGAAACATAAGAAACATACACACGTAAAAGAGGGACTAAGCGAACTGTCAAAGCCTGGCGCATTATGCGATTTATGGCCAGAGGCAATGGGCAAGAAGCCAGGCAACCCAGCCAACCAGTTTCTGGGATGCGATGGGATGCTTCAGTGCGCGCAGGCGCAAATCCTTTTGACATGTCCAATGCGACCGGACCGGCACATTCCGTACCTTTCCAGTGGGTAGCTGTAGCTATTCCTAATACGAGTAGTCGTAGTACATAGCATTGACTGGCTCTGGCTATGGCTCTGGCGTTGGCTCTGGTTGTGGCTCTGCCTGTGGCTGTGGTAGTAGCGCTTTTATGACGACAGCGACAGATTCAGGCAGCCACGGCAGGCACCGAATATGGGCAGAAGGGCCACAAACAAGTTCTTTCTGTGAAAGATCAGCGGGCCATGCACTAAACTGGATGCCGCCGTAGCGACTGCTGCCCCGGCCGCAACGGGTAAATATTTAACTTCACAACTTGCCACCATCTAAAAACGAAGAAGAGGCAACAGAAAACGGCAGCAGCAGCAGCAGCAGACACCAGACAGCCGACAGCAGACCATAAAAAGCATAAACCGCAAACTCCGAAATTAGAGATGGGCAGAGGTCAAGAAAAACCAGCATTTTTCAACGAAATACAAACATTTCCGAATGAATTCACGAAAGACTGGAGCAGCGATATCTGTGAATGGGATGTGAATGAATGTGCCCAAGTGGAAGCCCAAACACGAAAACTATAATCAGTAGAAGCCCATCTTTTACTACAAAATGTGATCCTTTGGTTTTCGTACTTTCCATTGCCTGCACGGACACATCTCTACACCCAAAAGTGGAGTCGTTGCAGCTCCCTGAGTGGGTGGGTGGGGGCGCGAGCGACGTATAAACAAAACAGCTGTAACGCACTCAAACATCATCGGTCGTCCCCCGACCAGTTCCACACATCAGTCGTGTCCCCGTCCAAATTTGTAAGCGAGCCGATCCGATCCGAGGCGATCCGAGCCGAGCCGAGCCGAGCCGAGCCACTCTGAGATCTTGGTGCCCGATGGATAGCCGGGGCCGGGCCGGGCGGCTATCGTTAACTGGACTTTCGGTTTCTGCTGTTTCGAATCGTTCAGTTCGTCTCGGAACTTCTAAGCGATCGGTTTTGTGTTCGTGCTTCGCTCCGCCGCGCCCAAAGAAGATTTCGAATATATCAAATATCGCACGAAATTTTGTTGTTCGCATACGGTATACGGAAGCAGCTAACACAGATTCAGAATCAGATTCAGAATCTGCAGACGGGGAGGAGCTGTAATCCTCAATAAATGTTTATAAATATCACTTAAGAGCGATCCCCCCATTCAGTTCGCAATTTTTCAATATATTTTTGTTTTGTTTTAAACAAAAAGCCGTGTGCCGCGTATCTGGTTAATGTCAGCGCGAAAACTCAAATCGATTTATGGTTTGTGATTGCAAATTTGACATAATTGGTTGGTTATTTTTTTTGTTTTTGATTTATTATCTGTATCCGTATCTGTGTGCGAGGCATCCTTAAGTGCCGCATCGCATAAAATCTGACCACGATTATCGCACAATAGCAGAGGGGAAATCTTTCTCCGCGGCAGTCAGTGGGATTTTGTGTTCGTTTTGTGTAAGTCGAATGCAAATATTTTTAATTAATTGCAATTATTTATGTATGAATTGAATGTGTGTCAGGCAGCGCGCGACATTTCCTAGTACATTAATCTTGCTCAAAATCGCATTTCTTGTTGCTGTTGCTGTTGTTGCTGTTGCTGGAGGGGGGTGGGGGGCTGTTGCAGAGCGAGCTCTGGGCATTGGAGTTACAAGAGTGCTTATGGCTTTAATTTGCATTAAGTGTCGCTGCCGTCTACGCTGGCCGGCTCTGACTCCATTAAACATTAAACATCTATCGGTTAATGGGTCTTGACTCTAATTATTCAATTTTCCTGCAAATGTCAAAGGTCTGTGTGCATACGTGTCCACGTAATCTGATCTTAAAGCCCCTATCAATGTTCTCACAACTCATTTGAATGCCATATCATAATTACAATTTTAAATATTTTTCAATTCAATAAAACTAAGTGGTGTCGGTTCTCCGGAATTTCCTGATGCATTGAATGCAATCAAACCAAGTTTCAACTTTCTTTTTATCGCGATACCTACATGATTAATAATCTCCTTAGTCAAGTTGTAATTGCATTTCGATGTTGATAAAAATGTAACAAAAAATACCCCACAAAATTTAAGGATTGTTTATCAGCAAACTAAAAAATGGAATAATAAGAAATAACTTTGATTTAAACATTAAAAATGGATTAAACAGACGCATATTTAACCTTAATTTTAAACATAAAAATACAATTTTTTTAAATTTTTGGAAAATATATTTAATCTCAAAAATAATGATATATAATATACAATATAAATAAGTATACATAACATATTTTCAGATTAATGACAAAATTTTCCCCTCTGTGCGAATCTCGGGGTTTTTGTTTTCTCTGGGCTTATCTATTTTAATATTAATTAATTTCCCAAAAGTCTCACCAATATTATCTTCGAATCATATCAAAACTTTGCATAAATATGCGTTTTATTATGTGACAAAAGCAAACAATTGAAACACACAATGAATGTGCATATTTCAATCAAAAAATGTCTTTGTTGTCATTAGCTTATGAAACAACTGCGACATTTTCGTAGTCGCTTAAATATTTCTGTGTACATTTTGACACATCCCATGTGGCAAGTGCACAGTGCCCAAGTGTACAATCGAAATTTACAGTCTAGGGCACGATTCCGCCCTATGCGATCGTGCCTTTGCGCATATCATAATCTTCCTGCAAATATTATGGCGATTCTCAAATGGAAACAGAAGGGTGACTCCGGGGGTGCGCACGGGGAGTGCTCGAGGCAAATGATTTAGACATTGCTTTCCGGTATTTCATTTTTTCTTGGCTTTTCTAATTAGCCAAAGTCATTTGCATAAATTACGCAGCTAACGGTTACTGGGCTTATGCCTTTTGTCTGGCGGGTGGTCAGGCTCTCTATGAGCTATGGGCCATGAGGCATGCGTGGGCGTGGCCCCGCCACCGGACGCCCCCTTGCAGCTGCAAAGCAATTAGCAAAAGACTGGACTAGTCAACAAATTGTGGCCGTCCCGTTGTTGAAGTCTTTTTCTCCCGTACTCGTGCCCGTTCCCGTGCCCGTGCCCGTGCCCGTTCCCGTACTCGTATTCCTTTTTTGGGCCGTTGCATTTGTTATTGAAATGAGTTTTCGCATTTGAAGTCGCAGTCGCAGTTGAACTTGTCGGGGCAGTGGCGGTGGCGGGGGCAGGGTGTCCAAATGTCAAACTGTCGATGTTCAACATGTTGCGTATAGTTTTCGCTTTTCGCTCGCTCTCTGTCTGTCTGTCGTTTTCGCTTTTCATTTCTGACTCTGCGAAAGAGGAAAGAGGAAACAACAAAGGCCAAAAGCCATGCCGAAAGACTTGGAACACATTCCTTTAATTGGACTGAAAGTACAGTGTAAACAAAAGGCATTCGAACGATTCGAACCTCCTGGCCGGCCGCAACCGCCCCCACCCCTACCCCTACCCCATCTCCTCTACCGATCGGGAAGGGGAAGTCAGTTTGTTGATCTTGTTAAAAAAAAATAATAAAAAACAACATTAAAAAACAGACACAACACAGGATGACTAAATAAAGCTGTAGATACCCTTGCAGATTCAGATGAGGATGATTTATATATGAAAAATACTTTATTTAAATATGACAAATATTTAATTTAAATATAAAAAAAACATTACGTTTAATGATGAAAAATAATCAATTTAAATGCAACAAATATTTAATTTAAACAGGTAATATATTTGATTGAAATAGGAAAATATTCGTTTAAAAATTAAAAATATTTAATTGAATATTTAACTGAAATTTTAATAATTTAAAAAATGTGAAAAATATAAAATTTAAAATGAAATATTTTCATTCAATCTTTAAATCGAAGTGGAAAAAATACCCAAGAAATCCAAGAAAAAAAATCGTTTCGAAGTATCTGCTATGCTTCGCAAACAACTGATCAAAGTCCCTATACCCTATTTACGGGTACAAAGAAAAAGGCCAGAGAAAGAAAGAAGAAGAAGAAACGTCAAAAGAGTAAACGAGATACAAACGCTGGGCAAATGTGTCATGATTTTGCATATTAAAGACAGCGACACACGACGATCAACAAGACACAGGGGACCAGAGACGACCAGAGCCATGTGAAATATACTATCAAATCTGTAGCCGGCGACGCGGACTCTCTGACACACTATTAACAATCTGTTGGCCATGATTTTGTAACCTTCTTCTCTCCCAGTGCCGTGCCTGTGCCCGTGCCCCAGCTCTCTGCCCCGTCAGAGCTGTCCGATCTGTCGTGGGAAAACGGAGACGAAACCGTCAACAAGAACAACAAACAATGCTGAGGAATGAATGAAATGTGTAACCCCCTCGGCGCCCGCCCTGTGGCATATGGCAAATATTTGGCAATCTGACAGATAAGATACATTCGATAATCCCCCAACGCGATCGGTTATTGAACCCCAGAAGCTGGCGGGCGTGAAAACTGTAGCAACTCTGGTGGGTGGCCACACCGCCCCACCGTCTCACACCCAGCGGGTGAGATCGGACATCTAATGCGGTCGCGCGAACTGAAATCTTCCTTAGAGATCTGAGACATTTAACAGCCCATCGTGGCTGTCGGGTTACCCCCGATGTTAATGAAAGCAGCGTTGAAAAATTGTCGGTTGCTCCCAAGAAATTACAATACAAAACGTTTCAATTATTCTTCGGGCTGCCATTAAAATGGTGCTGTTGCTGTTGCTGGCGGGAGAGTTACCAAACAGTTCCCTGGCTGACTGGCTGGCTGGCTGGCTGGCTGCCCCGAGGCGGCGTTAAGCTCTTAGTTTATCTCTTTATAAGAACTTGAGGAGCGGCTGCTGTTGCTCTGTTCTGTTTTGTTCGGAGATTACACACAACATACTCGCACTCGTAAATAAAAACGCATGCCAAAGTGGCAGCTGTTTGGAATTGCACAAAAGGGCCAGCCAGCTCCAGTCGGGCATTTAATTAACATTTAAATGGCAGCCCGCGCAGAGAAGAATCTGGATTCTGGAGCTGCTTAAATTAATTGCCCCAAAAATATACTTATACTTTCCCCAACAAAACCAACAAAAATCCACCAAATGATGAACAATTTACACACCATTCAACCAGAAACGTAAATGTAAACAGGTTGGGGTGCAAGGTGCGGTTGAAAGATCATTCAAATAAGATCAGTATTCCAACGTTTCCATAATGCTAGCGATAATTAACTAATTAGGTAATTGCAGTAGCAGTCTTTTAGTGTTTCAGTGTTTTAGTGCCTTAGTCATGGACCCCAGCCCATGATTAATGGTGAATGCAAAAAATTGTATTAATAAAACTGAAATTAGGGTGGCTGCTCTTCCCCTCTGCGCCACAGTCTGTCTGTCTGTGTGTCTGTCTGTCTGTGGCACAGCCATTTCCTATGACAACCAAAACATGTCCAACGAGACATGGGCCATGTTTCTTGGAGGAGGGCATTAATAGAATCTGCAGACAGGGGCCATTCGATAAAGAGAACGGGCCACTATCTGTACACTGAGAGAAACACAAATCCATTACTTAAATGAAAAATTTGCTATTTAAAGACAAAAGAAAGTTTTTAAATATATCCCAAATTCAATCAAATATAAAATAAATTTTTTATATTTAAACAAATATTTTAAAATTAAACTCAAAATATAAATGATACAAAATTAAGTTTAAATTTTAGACAAATTTACTTTTCCATGAGGTACGAGTATTTTGCTTGCTTTGAAAAAAAAAAAATAAAAAAATATTCCCATTAAAATGTATAATTATTTTTTAAGTATCAAAATCAACAAAGTGTATGCGGATAAGTTTAAAATAATTATTGTAACCAGAAGTGCATTTTCTAGCACTAGGATAGAAGGCCAAATATGTAAATAAATACATAGTTATGTATAAATAGAATATTTGAAGTACACTTTGGCCTTCCCTTAGGGAAAGATTTATGCACTGGAAAGATCAATATTCCAAATGGAATACATCGATCGGAGATGCCTGTACTTCTTCCGCCTCTGCCTCATACTATTTCTTTGATATATGTACGTCTGTTTCACGCATCTCTCGTGATTCATTGGCCATAGCTCATGTCTGGGTCAGCTCACTCACTGACAAGCAGCACACACACACACAGAGATACAGATAAAGATCCCAGAGATACTTGGTCTCCCCAAACTATGGGACACCCACAGCAACCATCGTGTGGTGTGTCTTGTGAGGCTGACAAAAATAAAGTTGGCACTTTCCCCGCAGCGGCGGAGGATGATGATGGTGATGATGATGATGTGATGTGGCTGCTTCTTAGAGAGCGTCAGTATATACTCTGTCCACGCCCTGCAGTATTTGTTCTGTGATTTATGTGCTGGGAAAACAAATCAATAACATTTAACACACACTAATTTCTAGATACCTCGAACCCCCACACACATTCAGACACAGATACAGATACAGATACAGATACAATCCCACTCCCTGGAAATCAATGGATGGCCAGCCTTTGCATAATTTCCAGCTAAACTGCGACCGAAACTGCAACCGCGACCCGAAAGTTGATTTATATGTGATATTCTTAAGGCAATGAATGGCCCCAGCTATTAATTAGAGATATATCAAAATATTGCCGCTGATCGGCCAGTAGTGGGTTGGTCCTCCATCGCCAGACCTGATCTCCACCTTCGGGGGGTCCGCTCCGATTGATTTATCTCTGGGCTGACCGTTTTTGGCAAGTCGGCAAGGTCAAGGCAAGTTGTCAACTCCGTAGACGCTCTATGGCTGAGACTCGGAGGCTTTGGGGCTGAACTGCTGGATTTTGCAGCTTAGATTTCGGTGGAATAAAGTTTTATTTTTGTGTCTTTTTTCTGTGTGCCGTTTGTTTGTCTGCAGTCTTGATTAAGCTTGATGCGCGGCGCCCGTAAACCTTTTTATCATCTTTTTTTCGGTTTTTGCATTTCTCGGAATCTTTTTTGAGAGTTATGACAGCTGATGGGGGGCCTTCCCGGGGGCTGTGGATGGGTCTGGCTGGACATTTGAGTGGCAGTCGGGGAGCCCGGGAAGACCGGGGAGGAGGTCCCAGGTCCCAGGCCCCAGGGTTTCACTTACTAAGCCCTGCTTAAGGCCGCACCTGATGGAACTCCATTTTCGGCTGGGAAAAGGGCCAGATCAAACTTACAATATTTTCTCGTACATTTCTCAATCTCCTTCGGTCTTTCGGTCTTTCGATCTGTTTTTTAATTAGCGCAGCAAGTGTTAATTATGTCTCAACGGCTGTCATTGGAGGCCATCAAAAGTCTTATGTAGAATGCTCCCAATTGCATCCACAAATTGGGAAAGGCATGGGGAAAGCAGAGCCCATCCCCATCCCCGAACATGTGTTAGATCCACTTTAATGATCCAGGGCGGGGGGTGGCTGTGTGGCACCCCGTTATCGTAAATTCAAGTTAAGGCAATGAATATTAATAAGCAGCTCTCTCGCTGAGCAGCAATTGCAATAATAATTGTTGTTGTTTTTTTTTTTTTGGTGTTTTTGATGCTGACAAATGATGGCATGCCACAGTTCCCTGCCCCACGATTCCGCAGTGCGTAAGATATTGAGAAATGTGAAAAAAGTGCCAGAAAACAAAGCGATGCTGACTTCCGGCTTCGGTTTTTTGTTCTCTTTTTTGGCAGCAACAGCTCCTGCGGGTTAACTGTTGAACTTGTGATTTATCAGCCAGAACAGAACTGAACAGAACCACATTAACCAGAACAAACAAGAATAATAATCAGAGTTTCAGCGTCAGCCTCAGAGTCGGCTCCATTTGGAGCTGTACAAATTGCCTTTGTCTCTGTCACGAAAGTTCGAACTTCAGGAGTGGATCTGTTCGAAGTGTTGACCACTCGACCATGAACAGCATTGGCCCCATCAGGAGCGGGGGCAGAGGCAGGGGCAGGAGCAGGAGCAGGGGCAGGAGCGGGGGCAGGGGCAGGGGGATCGTATCCACACGGCGCCTCCTCAATGCTAGAATACCCTATAAAGATCACAATTCCCATACTCATATTTAAATGAAATATTCGGTTTCTGAACGAAAAGTATAGAACATAAATTCTTAGAACATATATTCTTTTTAGTACTGCCCATATTTAAACCAAATATAAAACACTTTAAACAAAATAAAATATATTACATTTAATCTAAATATGAAAATATGAATTGAAATATCGGTTCAAGTTTACGATTCTCAGGGCATTTTTCTCTGGCTGTCGATGCTCGAAAAGTGTATCAAATTGTCGGGGTGACAGGTGTAGTGGGGAATGGTGCGTAGGATAGGATGTTTCTTGTTAATACATTTATGCTACCTTTCAATTACGAGTGCACGCGATGATGGACAGACTGGCAGACTGGCAGACGGACGGACAGGAGGTCGGCGTTGGTCAGACAAAGGAATCCATAATGAGATCCAAGTGGATCCGTCTTCTTGCTTACATTAAATACGAAAAGCGTGCAAAATGACTAGGAATCCGCAAGAGAATGAAAGTGAATGGTATCTCAGGGAGTGAGGATTGGTTGCGCTACCGTGTGGAAGGGGGGGGGGAGGGGCGGTATCGGGGTATCTGGGAGAACACGTTGAGCTACTTAATAAAGACATACCCGTTTGCTTGTCTTCCCTCTTTGCAGTTGCATTAACCCGAATCAGCGCCAAAGATGACGCACTCCAGTCCGACTTTAAGCTCCGCTCTGCTGCTCTGCTGCACAGTTATGCTGCTGGCCACGGCGGCATCAGGTATCCAGAACAGGACCAACAGCAACGGCAACGGCAACGGCAGCCCCTCAAACCCCAGGCTGCAGGCCCATCGAGGGCACGGCCATCGACAGCGACACCATCAGGGGAGTCAGGGGAGTCCCCTGGCAGCGACACACCAGCGACAGACGCGCCGAATGCAGTTGGCCAACCAGGCCAAGGCGGAGGTGGAACTGCTGCCGGGCGTGACCATGCAGGAGGTCACCCGACTGCGTCGCATCCATCCTCACAATCCCTACAACAAGGTTCTGACGCGTCGCCTGCATCAGCAGGGCGCTGGAGCGGGCGTCCGTCCCACCGAGTGGGACTACAACACCTACAACATCTACACGAACACCTTCGGCCCGCCGCCGCCACCGGTTCCGCCCTCCTCGCCGCACTCTGGCAAGGGGGAGGACAACACCCAGGATGTGGAGTTCATTGGGGTGCGGGAGCGGGGACGTGGCTACAACTATGTGCCGTCCGTGTCTGTGAGCAGTACCACTGCTCCACCGCCGAGCCTCAACCGCCGCTCTGCCACCCCGGGACTGAGCAGCATCGGCACCATACCGCCTCTGGTTCCGGCCAGGCGTGGCTACGTCTACACGACCACGGCTCCCGCGACCACCACATCCACATCCGGTGTGACCACGGAGGATCCCTACGAGACGAACACAATTGGACGCAACTATCCCACGGATCCCAAGGAGATGGAACGGTAAGCCAAAGAACTTGCCTCCTAATCTCCTCCCGAATCCTCCTAATTTAAGATCAATAGTTTGACCTTTCCTTCTGGAGGGCTCCATTGAAGGTTCCCTAGAAGAATAATGCCTTTGGGTCACACCCCTCGAATGGGAGATGGAGACGTATGTCGGAGCGATCTTTCAGCGGCATTGGGGCGGGGCGTGTCCGATTGCATTTATCAGAGTCAGAGCCAGAGCCAGAGCCAGAGCCAGAGCCGGAGCCCCCATCTCCCGGTTCAAGGTTGCTGCAGTCATAAATAAGTATTTCCAAAAGCCGGGGCCAGAGCATCAGCTTTACCTTTGGCCCAACATCAGTTTTGGGTCTGGCGCTGCCTCCGTGTGTCGCTGTGCCTCGGCGGCTTATCGCATCGAACATAAATTATTTAAATATTTTGACAAGCCGAGATTTCAATGTCGATTCAGCAGCTGCGCGCTGCGCTTCGGTGCTAATTTGCGGCCCAGACCAAATGCCATGCCAGCCAACAACTGGCTGGAAATTAGCCCCAAGGCCAAGTGGCCAGAGTCACAGCCAGAGCCAGTCGACGATCACTTCACATCCACTGCTGCTCTGCTGCTCTGCGGCTCCAATTGTCGTGTGTCAATTGTGCAGCAAATCAATGAGCGCGCACTTGAATCCCATACCCCATGCCCCATACCCCCCACACCCTATACCCCCATTCCATACCCGTATCCGTGGCCGTAACAATTGCAATTGCAGCTCCTTAAATGTACCAACTACTCGTACTCGTACTCGTACTCATACTCGTACTCGTACCCGTTGATATGTGGGCATCTATCTGTAGTGGTTGTGTTTTGTCGTGTCTTCGTCCGCGATCTGGCCAAGATTGTGTGGTGTGCCCTGGCATTGACTTGAACAGGCAGACTCTTCAAGTGTCGCCTTCCATTGTGGCTGTGTGGCTGTGCGGCTGTGTGGCTGTCAGTCGCTTTAAGGTAATGAACTTTAACGAGTTTTCAATTGCCAGTGCTGATGTTTTCTAATTGGAATTAATGTGGCTCTACTTAAGGGCAAAGGCATGCCATCCACAACCCATCCACAGTCCATCCAGCAATCCCACAATCCAGGCACAGCGGAAACGCTGCGTATGCGCAATCTCAACTAGCAACTGCAACAGCAGTGGCAATGGCAGCAGTGGCACTGGCAGGTTGCAATGGTTGTTGTGGCTCTGGCGTTGCAAATTATGACACATTTTGATTTATGCGGCAGCTGCCAAAATGCTGCCACAAGGCAAATGCACAGCCTAGCATCATCATTCATACCATGGGCCATGGGCTGGCCATTACAGTGGTGCACAAGTGGCAAGAAACCTGAGCCGAGCCGCAACGAGCCAACTCTCGGTGGAGGATTTAATGGATGATTTTTGGTTTTGGTGGAAATACTCGGTGTGTAATTCCCATTTTGCAGCCATTCCTACATATTCGTTTTCCCACTGTTTGTCTCTGCCACGGCATGTAGGCGCATGCCGCCTTGCCTCTTTTCTATTTATTTAAGCACTGCACGTGCAGCAGCAGTGCAGCAACTGTTGCAAGTGGCGCATTGCAACAGAGCAACAGCATATGGAAATGACTTCTCATGTGGATTGGCTTCAGCTTTGGCTTTGGCTTCGGCTTCGGCTTCTCGTTTCGTTTTGGTTATTCACACGCCGCCATCAGCACAGATCTGCAATGGTACGAGTACTCCTCCTCCTCCTCCTCCTCCTCCTCCTCTTTCCCCTCTGATAGATCAGACCTGGTTAATGGCCAGAGCAACGATTCAATTGCCAACTGCAGTCCGGTGTTAATCAGCGTTATAGCCGGCGATTGGGGGGATAAAAGTGGAGTTAAGTCATTTCCCCCTCTGTGGCGGCACAGTGGGGCCGACCCGGCGAGAGCTTGAGGCAGCCTCGCTTTTAATTGCCACTTTCCGAATGAGTCGGATCCATATCGATTTGGATCCCTCGAAATCTGCTGCGATCCACTGTGGCTACCGCCCCGGTCTTTGGGGCTTCTGTTTGATGACTCCAATTGATGTCTGCACTGTGCATGTGGCAGACAATTTGTTGTTGTTGCTACCGGCAGTTGCCTGCCACACTGACAATTGATTGATGTCTGCGTTTTTTCGGGTAGCACTCAATGATTGACTTTTGATTTGCGATTGCGGCGATTGCGACACCCAAACGCAACCGATCAGCGATTAACCGATCTAAAACCGGAGTTAATGAATTAATTATACATTCCATATCGGTGGTGTGGACGACAGGGTGTTGATTCAGGGAGTACCCGTGTGTGTGTGTGTGTGTGTGTGTGTGGGCGTGGTCGGCCCGCCAGCCCGCCAGCCAGCGCTTAAATGCCACTTGCACAGCCCAAGCTTGCAATCTTTCCAATAGTATCTCCCGAAGCACCACACAATAATAAAAATCGAAAACAAAGCAGGGCCTTGACTTCAATCCCTGGCTATGGAAAAACAACAGCACAAAAATAAAAAAATAAATAAAAGCCAATAGCTACAACAATTGGCAAAATGTACAATAAAATGAGACAAGAGCCAAGGAGAGTTATGTGCACTTTAGCCAACTCTGTGACCCTAACAAGAGGCAAAGAACCAGACGCAGGCGCAGACGCAGACGCAGACATAGACTCCAACTCCGACTCCGACTCCAACTCCGACTCCGGCTCGGACAGAGGCACAGGCGCATGCGCATGCGCAGCTGGATGGCGGAGTCAGGGTTGTAGTCCGCCTGCAAATTGCTTGTCAACGATCGAACCCCGGCTTAGGCTCTGCGATAATTATGGGATAGGGAGAGGGTATGGGCATGGGCATGGGATATGGGTACCGGCGGCTGGGGCACGCCACTCGAGTGACGAATGATTTGATATGCTGCGCTTGGAAAAACTGCACTTAGAATGCGGCTGCAGCCTGTGAAAATTCGTTAACATTTTGCACCGTGAAGCATTGTGCTCAATGGCTACGCCTACGCGTGCCTAACCGCACTCCCACTTGGAGCTGCAGATGGAGATGGAGCCGAGCTGTGGCCTGGTCTGGTCTCTGGCCCTGCTGGGGCTTATCCAAGTCATGCCATCAGCCAGGCGGCCGACAGCAAGGGTAAGCCTTGGCCCAGGCTTCTGCCTTCTCGTTTAATGAGTTTTTCTTGGGATTCGATGGGAACAAAACATACGTGCATGGAGGCATGTGGGAGTTCAACAGCAACAGCAACAACCACAGCGACAGCAAAACACAGCCTGTACACGTGCTCATCAAAAATCAGCAGAAAGAACACGACATGATATGACATCAATTGAACAAATTGCCAGTTTGACAAATGCAAAAAATATTGCCTCTTATATCTCAATATTCGTTTTAATTAAGATGGATTTCTCTCCGGGCGGAGCTGAATGCTGATTGAAAAACAAGGCAAACCTTTATTGAAAGAAAAGTTCCAAGAGGTTTACATGCATATTTCCACATTGGTGACCCCGTTTCCCCTCATTAGTCACGGTCATTGTCACTGCAAATGGTTCAATCTGTTCACCTTTTGGGGCGTGCATTCGATATGCACTCGAGTGTACGTACAACAATTTATGGAGCACCCATTGTACGATATGGGTCACAGATCTACATGGTAGGGAAATATTTGTTACCATTTCTCTGTGGCGTGTGACATGTGAAATATGTAGGTGTATCACATTACCAAATGGGTGTTTTGTTTTTGTTTTTATTCTTTAACAAGGGGGCTATCAATCAGTGTGTGCCACATCTACACTCAGAGGAAAAAAGCCCTGGTAATCGAATAGTTACACTTTGATTTTATTAAATTTAAATCAATAAATTATAAAAATTTGATTAAATATATTCCATATTAAAAAAAAAATAATTCATATTTAGATTTAATATATTTCCTACAAATAAAATATATTAAATTTATTTTAAAATTAAAAAGTAAATTATTTTGAATTTTGGTTTAAAAACCGAATCTTCAATCTCTTCAATTCTTTCTACTATGCCATTTTTCTCCGAGTGTAATTTTACACACTGAAAGTCGAGATCTAAGGCATATTTATACAATAATTATGATCCTACGATCACCATTGACACGCCCAATACGATCTACGTATTTCTATGCCTCCGTTGCGCTGACATAAACAATCATACATCTGAATGCACTAAATGAATATGTAAAGTAAAGTCCGATTCATGGTATAAATTTACTCGTATTGTTCGGTTCTCTGCCTCTGCCTGGGCGTCTGGTGTGTGCAATTAGTGAGTTTTTCACATAAACACAAGTAAGTCACTCAAAACATGAATTGGACGTCGGACGGCGGACAGGGGGACAGTTTGGACAGTCGTCCCCCGTCACAATGCCGCTGCAGAGGTGGACCGCTGCACCGTAATTTGCAAATCACGCAGCTTCGCATCTCAGGCTGAAAATTGGGTTAATGCAATGCTCTGGGAGGGCAGGGGTCCGAGACGGCGGCGGAGACGGAGACGGAGACAGACAGATTACATGCAAACCCGTTCGGGAAGACGGGCGATACGGTGGGGAGGCTGGGGACTGGGTGGCGCTGTCTCTGCAGTGCTTTTGTCTTGCAGCCCCACTACAAAAGACAACAAAACTCTGTGGAGTGCCACACACGAGGCATGAGCACGAGAGCACGAGAGCACGAACCCCCCAAAAGTCCGGGCCATAACATGACGCACAAAATTCCAGCCACACATACACATACTCGCATGAGGTACACTGCAAGAAAACCCATTACGTTGGGTTTATACACTGCAAGGACTCTGAATCATAAATTCAATTTTAATGCCCTGGAAGATCAATTGAAGCATTTATAGCCTATATGGCATATTTCTTCGGGGGTGATTCATGTGCCCGTACCGTCTCGGGGGCTCAATTAATCGTGAAGAGGTTCTGGTTCTCCCAGTAAAAGAGTTCATAGAATCCCTGTCCAGATTGATGACTCTGGGAGTTAGTCATGC